CATCCCGAATCTCACCAATTTTGAACTCCTCTGAACGTTTATTATTTCAATTTCACTCTGATTTTTAAAACGTATTGGGTGTGGAGCAGCAGAGAGCATTGCGAGGTCATATTTTCTCCACTTTGTAAACTCCTCATTTTTAAAGTGGACAAATGTGAGGAGCGGCTTGAAGGGGGCGGTGGCCTTCGTGAAGGGAAGAATTGCTCGGATGGGGGGAGTAAATGAGCCATATGGATTGCTAACCTCAGGGGAAATTCCACAGGCATTTTTTCTCCATTCTAAAGTTTCTGTAGTAATGAGGCTGTTTTCTTGAGTACAACAATTGCGGACGATGGAAAATCTATTTAGTAATAGTTTTTTAAGAGTCGAAATAGGTTTGGGTTTGTATGTAAAAATTTTATAGTAGGACTCGATTCGTCATAATCAGAACAGTTTTTACCATTTCTCGACTCTGTGAATTTATTTGAAACCTCTGTCCGACAAATGTGTAAATTAAATTGAGTAGGGAGTTGCAAATTTTTAAATAATATATGTATGTACCATCCAGAAAAAGTAAAGCTCATCGAAACTAGCTGACCATGAGTTAAAAAGGTTTACCTTCATACTATTCATCAATTTATTTACTGTCAAGCTGTCGCCCAGAATTTTAAAATAAATTCCCAGAAAACTGAATAAAAATGTATTGATTTTGACGATTTTTTTAATGAGACATCGAATTCTACGTTAAATTTCATATATGAAAAACGACCGGCCGAAAATTGGTTCAGATTTTGCAAAACGCAAAGAATTGTTTATTTCCTGGCACAATTTTTTATACGCAACTAAATAATTCTATAGCAAAAAAATTGCACCCTTTTATTCATACAATTGTGCAAATTATGCACACATTTCTTTCACAGGACCGTTTAAAAAAGCTGGCCAATTTTCGACACATAGATTTTCATGTGCCACTTACATGCCGTAGTAGCAAAGACATGTCTCATTGACCGGTCGGGTAAAGAATATCCCTCCGGGACAGTCACTCGTACTAACTTGGTAAAATTTCCCCCCTTCACTTAAAGAAAGTCCGCCATACCGAAAAAACTCTGAAGAAGATGCTTCTTTCCCATGCAATAATGTTGTCGTATGAAAAGTCAAAATTATGAAAAAGTTAAATGAAAATGAAAACGGGAAATTTTCTAAAAATGTCATGATGCACTTGTAACGTAACGATAATATACATAACAAGAATAATTAACTAATCATTTTACTGCAACTTTCATAACTTTCGCTTTTCTGTTAGAATTTGATTTATTTATGTCTAGATAAATATAATATAAATAAATTTACAAACAATTTATGCATTGTGAAAATTACAATAAGAATTGTGATACCGATTGTAACTTGGAAGTATTTAGTACGTAGACACAAATTGTTCCCTATTCATCTCATTCATCTCGTTCGACCTCTGTTCGTTACAGTCAACATTACATGCTGGAGGATTCAGATTAATTTGAAAAAGTTAATAAATTGCTGGTTTTTGTCGTAAGTAAGGTATGATTTGCGTAAAATGATATATTCAAATAATAATTTACTTAATTTACATAATTGAGGTAAATTCATCTATGTTATGAAATTGACGTAATTAAGTAACTTGAGTATATCCTCAATTGTATTAACAGTTTTCAAGAAAATGTTGTAATCATATGATGGAAATCGATTTTTGTTGCAGATAAAATAAATAATAAAAATCCAATTGTTGCAAATTTATTTTATTAATCGGTCGATCCTTGGCTTTGCCTAAGAGAAAGATTTCTGAGAAGATTTTGTCCTGCAGAAGGTTTGTTCGGATTTTACTTATTCTGTAGAACCGTAATTGCATAATTCTGCCTACTTATAATTAGTTCTGGATAAGCTACGTACTGCACAATTCACTCTGCATAAAGTTTTCCTGCAGGAAATTGGGCCTTTCGTACAAATTTTTACTCGGGTGACTAATAAACTGACTAATCGCGTATAGAAGTAAGCAAACATATCCAGGCAGTACTCCACTGAAGCAGAAAAGAAATTCTCTCGAAGAAATAAAACTTTACCAGATTGTGCAACTTTTCGTCACCTCCGGCATCCCACCCCACAAACAAATTTTGATGTCCACTTGTACCAGAGTGCTCGGATAGTAAAGAATGCGTAACGCATTCCAAGAGTTGCAACCAAGAAATTCACAGTGACTCACGGCTTGTGACTCACAAGTTGTGAGTCACTGTGGTTACAAAAACGATATTTTTTTAGAATTCTCAAAACAAACAAAAAAACGAAGTGTATGTATGTTTTGCAAAATAAAGATATGTAAATATTCATGTCAAGACATACATATCACCGACAATTTAAGCTATGATGTAACACGTCGTATGAAAATATACATTATATAAGTATGCATTGTACATATATACATACTTAACGCAATGTGAACCATGTGCCCCTTCAAAATGAAAATGCCACATGACATCGCCACAAACTGACATCACTGGTGAAATGCGAACAACACAAGGACCCTACATGTTTCATGAAGCATGCGATTTATTTGTGGGTTGCAGGAGTGGCTTACATAAATATTTATGTAAGCATATAGAATATGAGTCACCCCTGGTGGGTGCGGGGGAGTATATATACCCCCCGTGAAAATTAATCACACACTTTCTGCAAGGAAGTGAAGGTGGTAGGAAATTAAAATAAATAAGTGAATAGCTATAGAAATACCGATATATTTACACATCAATCGTAGAAGTTACATTCCTTCCATCCTCATCATAGTACATAAACGCAGCCAAAAACTTCATAATTTCCATGAAATTAATCAATCGCAAAGTCTAATTCACATCACATTAATTTTGTAGTTAAAAATAACAATCTTTATCATGCGAACTTTATCCTTTCCCAATCTTAATTTCGTCGAACTTATCACCAGCTTCGTATTTATGGCAGTCATATCTCTCCAAGAGGCACACACCAGTCTTAATTCAGTCCTCGAAATATTTTCGCATTGTACCCTCATCGTAAAATTCACTACAAACAAAACCAATTTTATTCCCCTGCATCCCATCTTAATTCACGTTGAAGACTTTGGCAAATTAGTTCCAGAGCGCTATTCTGGTAACCCGGCGAAATTTCTGTTTAAAAACGTGTCATTCACTCGCCGACTACAGCAGCCCAAATTTTGCTGGTCCTACATATTCCCTGATATGGGTGACAACTTTCTACTCCCAAATTTAATAAATTCTCCAATATTTCCTCGTATTTTGGGTTCTACTTATCCCGTCCACCTAATTTGGATAATTTCACCAGATCATGAAAAGGCAACAAAGGAAATGGAGACAATTTACGAGAAAATTCTGTCAATGAGAGAAGACATTATTAGTTTGGGAAGTCGTGAATTATACTTTGTTCAACCCTGTTTGAACGAAACTAATGTGCAGTTTTATCACTTAAATCGATATCATCACCCGAATGCTACACTTTATACACAAATTTTTCCGAAATTCCAAAAATTCACAAAAATCATGTGCAATCTAACCTTTAAAATCGAATGCTTCCAATCCATTGAAAACATAACAGACAAAATCGCCCTTGCTTTCAACAAATTTTCCTGGATTTATATAAATTGGCTGGACCTGACCCATTTTTCATACAATTTCAGCCAAGAGTTTGTTAACATGCAGGAGAAATATTTTCGCCATGGACAAATCTTAAATTGGATTAAGGTCGCAAACCAATCTGAATCTTTGGATGATTTCGTTGCATACACGATATTTTCGGAAACACTTTTCAATATGACGATCCCATCAGAAATAATTTTCAAAAACGTCTACCTCTTTTTTGGCCGTAGACGATACGGGAACGTTGTAAACAGTCATCAAGTCGTTATTACTGGAAGTCGGTCGTACAACTTCCTCTCGTGCTATGGGATTAATAAAGAAAACTCGTACAAAGTATTTACGGACCCGTTCGACGTGTACATTTGGGTCTTTATTTTGACCACAGTGCTTATCTTGACGATGATAAGCGCCATGACCATGTCCAATCGTGATCAGCAATCAAATATCGATGTATTTATCATCACTGTAGCCGTCATGCTGGAAATTTCCTTCCCCTCAACTATCAAAAAAGTAATTTCGTCAAAAATCAAGTACCTGTTTTGGCTTTGGGTATGTTGTTGCGTGATATTGACTTCGGTTTACAAAGACGGCTTCACCACTGAGGTAATGCTCCCCTATAAACGGACACCATCCTGGAAATATATTTACGACCTAGAAGAACAAGGATTTCAATTCTTCCTTCCACTGAAACCTGACGTGAAACAATTTTACGACTCGTATTCAAGTGGACGTCTACTCTATAAATTCATCGCTTTCGAATTTTCTGACGAAACGACAACCGCAGCAAGTTACACGGAGAATTTGCCACGATTGTTGGGGTACAAGAAATTCGCCGAGTCTTTGTTAGGCCCAACGTGGAGGGAGAATTTGTACGATGGCAAAAATACTACGCAAAACTGGAAAGTTTTGCATTACAAGTGGCCCTCTCACGTTTATCCAAATTTGTCACGATGTGACGAAAAATTGGCATATGTTGACGAAAAGGGAAACATTAAGGACATAATTCCCTACTTGAATGATAACAAGGACGGGAGGGTTTTCATGTCTGGGACTGATGACGATTTCTTTTTGACACAATATGCCATCAAAATCGATCCAATACCAAGAGGGAATTTTGTACTAAATAGGGTAAAATATCTCATGGTTTCGGGAATTTATGACTGGTGGGAAGGGTGGTTTAAGAGGACAAGACCGAAAAAGTTATTCCCTTATTATGCTAATTGGACGGGACCAAATGTCGGAGCTTTGGAGAAGTTAGATTTCGGGTCGAAGTTTTTAACCACGTTGAGAATCTGGGGAGTTTGTTGTGCAATTTGTGGTGTCGTTTGGGTTATGGAATTTGTTGAGATAAAATGAATGGGATAGGTCTTACAAATAAATTACTATTTATTAAATAATGGTGTTACACTTCTAAAATTGATAATGAAAGTCATGCGCATGCAGAATTACTACAGAGTAAGCTAGAATCTAAATATGTACACATAAATTTCAAGGTTTAATGTTTCCTGAAAATTAAAATCCATATACAAACATCAATATAACACCCTGCATGTACCTAAATATGTCCAGATGTGTGCATAAATGATTTTGAGATACTTGAACGTAACAATACAAATAAATGTCAACTCAAAATCAATCATACACAATGCTGTACGCTGGGTCGTCATAATCTAAATAATTGTGCAATAAATCTATGTACTTATACAGATACGCCTTCTAATGGGTTTGAAAACATTTTGAAGCATAGCATAAGTATGCAGCTAGAATATGTAATAGGTAACTTCACCCGTGAATATAGGTAATTATATTATTGATAATTATTAGTAATTGTTAAAAGTACACTCTAAATAAAAGTGATTGGAATTTACTCAAGGTTGGGTAAAAGGAGGATGACACAACCAAAGGGTAAAATTTACCCAACGTTGGGCAAATTTTACACAAATTTGGACACGTTTTACATTTTGGTTCTGTTATCCTGTTTTTTACACATCTGTGTGTAAATGTTACTCATTTTTGTTTAGAGTGTATGTATGTACGTACATATACACATACACGTATATATATAAGTAAATTATTAAACTTAAATCTTAAATATTAAATATAACTTATTGCATATTATCTATTTGTATGTTTGTTAGTAAATATTTTGTACATGGAACAACCTGAAGTTTTCGTGTGAAAGGAAATTTTGCACACAAACTTAAAAAGAGCAATTTATGGTCTCCTACAGAGTTCGTTATAGAAAAAACAAATTAAAGACTATATAAATTTCGGACAATAGATTCTAACAATATCTTTATGACCCTTGGTTGTTCATTTATTTAATATAAAAATGGAAGAATCATTTCTATTAGATGAAATGCAGATGATGGGATTTAAGAAGGAAACGATTTCAATATCATGGAAAAATGCTGAGTAAACTTGATAAAAGTTTAAAAAGGACTGTGTCAAGAATCATTACGAAATTTCTGGGTCTGGAACTTAGCTCATACCTTCAGCCATATTTCCATTAATCAGTCTCATAATCGTAATGAGGATGTATATAAACTAATCCTAAGCGGAAAGCACATGTTCCTAAGTTAACCCTCCCATTCTCGTATTTTAGTCGCCTTCTCGGTCCTTAGCCCCCTTCCCACGACGGAAGGGCGCCCAAGGGACCACAGGCTCTCCAATGGAACATACCACAGGAAATAGAAACAACTGGGAATATCATGGCTGGGATTGGATCATTTCTACACCAAATTAGGCAACTGTGGGATAACACGACAGACCCAAAATTGGCACCGGTACTTCCGAAGTACGGAGATGAGGCCCTGTGGTACGAGTACCTCTAGCTGGACGTCGTGGATGAGTATCTTAAACGGGAAAACCTGGACCTGACCAAAAAGAAAATACACCACGACCTATACGTACAAAACTGGTTACAACTCCCAACCCTGCTTGCAATTATGATTATAATAATAGCTCGACTTGGATACAGCCACATCCAGCAGCTCTACCACGAGAAAGAACATCCCTTATTTTTGGAAAGGTTACGTGGCACTTGGCACCTGCGGTAAATTGGAACGACTTAAGGACATTTCCTATTCTGCCCCCTTTGAGTGTGCTCCGAACTACAGCAGTCAAAGGAAAGAAAAAACTGCAGAGAAATGTTGCATCCTATTTTTGATTTCTCTATGGAGAAAATAATTATAAAGTTATATAAGAATTTAGCATCAGCAGAACTTCCAGGCCAAAGAGAAAACCACCCTAGAGCTTCCATTTCTTAATATTAATTATTCCGCTAGTACTTGAGACAATTCTCCTTGCTTTACAATCCAATAGGTTATTGCACTTGGTCACATCGTCGCATGATGATCATTATTAATAGTTACATCCTGTATGAAATTTATTATGTTAAGATTAATTCATTCCTACTTGCATCTTTATACTACAGCGGAGGAAAAATCACCAAAATTAAAATAATAACAACCGTGGAAGGGACGACGACGACATCCCAGACTGTCGCTCCCACATGACAAAATTAAACACCCTCAAGGTCAACCTCTCCGACCTTTGGATTTGCGGCAGTGGTGCCATAGGCAAGGTATCTAATAATAGAGCAAGAGGTGCGAGGTCAATTTTGATTCAAAGCTAACTCCATAAATCTCAATCGAAGATGCTATTCGAAGTGCATGTTATGTACTTGAATACCAAAAATGCTGAAAAACTCCATTCACACAAGTATAACCAATTGGAAAGGAATTTGGTGGAAAAGCAGTAGAGTCCATTTTACATGGTTTCAATGTATTACATATACATTGAAAAACTACATATTGTGTAACCCAGGGGAAGGCGAGTATATGCATTAAGCAGACCGTAGATTTTAATGAGACAAATGCTACTCGAAAAGAGAACATTAACAACTATAAAGCTGACGAAGTCACTTCATTTTCTACTGAACATTTAAAAAATGATGCGACTGATCAAGAAAATGGGGAGAGTGATAAACTAGATTATGAAACTGCGACATTTTCGTCAGCTAAGAATTCTCCTAATCACTACCACCAAAGTTGGTCAACAAAACGCAACACGGTCGGATGAAATGAAATACGAGGCATCCCAAAGAAGATCCGGCTCTCCAGTCATCCAAAAAAAGAGAGACAACAAATATTAGAGTCAGCCTGGACTTCTGTGAAAAATGCGGCCGAAGCTGTAGGTTAATTTTTCAAAGACTTTAAGAGCGCTAATTACGTGTTCCAAAGTGTAGAAAATAAGTAATTAATATATTTGTGAAATTAATACATACCTAACCTTTCATCAGAAATTGGTATCACCATTACGATGGCAATACTCCTTATCAGGAGCCCAAATCGCTTCGAAGAATTGTATGCCTGCGTCCGTGGAGTGTAAGTTCGATATATGTCGCAATCTGTATACAAGTGTGGAATTTGTGTTTTATATAACAAAAAAAGATTCAACTCTGTGACCAAGCGCTTATAGAGCTTGCTGAGAGTGCTTATAGAGCACTCATGTAACGCACGAAAAAGATTGAACTATTTCCATAAATTGCCTATCTGTCGAACTTTGGGTATGTCGAATAATTTGCGTTTGTTATTCAGTTAGAAAGTACACTTAATACTTGACATTTTTCAACTAATACAAAAAAATATAAATTAGGTATATTGAAAGCTTAAAATTGTGTCCATAAATTGCTAAGTGTAAAACGCTTGAATGATTGAATGATACGAGTAGAGTATATAGTGTGTAGTTATTCAAGTATTTCACACAAAATAATTCATGCAAGCAAAAAAACATGTCGAACTTACATAAATCGCGACAACTACAAATGGCAATGATTTATAACACTGCATTGTATCAATTGCACAGATCGTAGACTCGATATTTCATATTTTATAAGTTTTATATGCACGTAAACGCTAAAGGTAAAATAAATAATTATGTATGCGGAGAGGCTACCTTCCGCTGAGGTCGGGGGGAGGGGGGGTGCGTGTAACTGATTCTGAAGAATTAGTAATTGGCTTGGCTTTCCAACGACACCCCAAATGACGATTTTAAGAAAAATCTGAACCGCGCATTTTGACCTACACACGCTCACCATGACCTTATCAAAAAAATGTGGAGTCCCTACGTGCAATACCCGGCGCGTAAACGTGGGATCTCAATAAAAGTCACTCCGCCTCCTACCACACCCATGGAAATTTTAAGAAAACGGACAATGATTTTTCCCCGTCTTTTAAAGTCCCCCAACACATTCTTGAAGGATTTCAAAAAAATCGATTTTTCAAGTCACCTTCATTACCATTACTGGTGGAGTAACCCTAATAGGCTAAAAAGTAATTTCCGTAGTGGCATATGTACAAACGCATGACCTACCGTTTTCATGGCAAAACACAAGCTACATATTTATATTAACACTTGTTTAACCTTTAGCAATACCATAAATGCATACATACTCGCATTTTGAATAAAATTAATGAAAATAAAATAAATAACTAAATTTAGTTTATGCATTTAGGAGGGTGCTAAGACAGGCGGGCCATTTTAGTAAAATAACCTTATATCATCATAATTATCCCCTGTCGTGATCCTTATTTCTTATTATGATACGCTAGATATTATATTAATGTTCTTAATGTTTATATTACATGTGTCACTCGTGGAAGAGCATGTTTTGTTACTGTGAACTTGTTAGACACTTGAATAAAGTTCAATCAATCAATCAATCAATTAGATCCGGGAGTATTTTTTAGCGTGTATTATGAAATACGATATTCATAAAATTATGTAGTTGAAATTGTGTCAAAATAAAGGTATTCTGATTCTAACAGTTGTCGCAGCTGAAATTGTGGAAACACTTAATTCAACAAGCGTATAAGATGTTTTAGTAGCAGAAAATGGTACAATTTTCCCCGAAATCAATTGGAATCTTGTTCTCCTGAATGAAAGATTTTACCCATTCCCATGTGTCCTCATCAAACTGCAAAAAACATTAGTTAAGACACAGATACATAGGAAAAAACTATTCATGAAAATGTAAACCAAGTCATTTCAACAAACTCACCCGTATTCCCGAAATGGTAACACTGTCCAATCCCTTCATTCCCAGGAGCCATTGTTTCAACTGCGACATCCCATCTTCGACACGGCCCAAGTCGTCGTACGCATGCGAGGACAACCTTATTTCCAAAGTTTTCAGACCTGATACCATGTTAAAAAATTAATTAAGGATCATATGACTTTTAGATATGTACATATGTACACTTTAAATAATGCAGTAACAACCAATATCAGGCACTAATGGTAATTAATTTGTTACCCGTTTTTAGTAAGTTTGTCACCACTTTGCTACTGTCTAGATACATATATTTGTAAATATGTACTTATTGCAAATACTCTCTGGTGCCACTTATTGCGAGTGTGTCAACAAGTTTACTTACCACTCGGTAACAATTATTACTATGGCGGTAGACCCATGGTCCTGTTACCGGATTATTTAGAGTGCATGCAATAATTTAGCTCTTACTTGACAATAATTCCTCACAATTTGAAAACCCTTGAATAAATTCCGAAAGCTTTTCATTTCTACTTGAGAGCTCCAACTCCAAACATTTTAATCCAAGTGAAACACACGCTTGTAAATGTGGTCCCAATTCTACAAGCTCTACTACAATCCACTTATCCAACTGCAGAATTGTTAAACTTTCCAAATTTGGGAATGGTGTCCTTAATCCAGTAATTGATTCGGGGTCATTGATATCCAACAGATGGAGTTTCTTCACTCGATTAAATAAATCCTTCTTCTGCATAATATTTTGTAATAATTTATCCAAGTTGTTCGTGCATTCAGCAATATGCAATATTTCCAAATTTGGCATCCTTTCTGGATAAATATCTTGCAGTTGATCCCCACATCTAAACAAATCGAGCACTTCATTTCTAAATTCCTTAAGATTCTTCATTTTAGGGATCTGAAAACCGATTCGGACTGCTTCATCTCTCGCTCGCCAAACGCCAAAATCATCGTAAGAATTTCCAGCTTCACTTATCATGCACATCTTCAAGTGCAAAAATTGTATTTGATCTTTTACCTGGTTTAACATCTTGTTAAGTCCGTGAGCACCTTGGCAAGTGGGGATTCGAGTCATTTCCGCGCAATCAATGTGCACCGTAAGCCATTTAATTGCCTTATTCCGACTTAAATCTGGATATTTTTTGCCATGGTAGGTAAAATGTGTCACGTTTGAGGCAGAGTTAAGAATCAATTGTGCCCTTTCTGGGGAGCCGGAGGGTTCAGTGATGCCAAATATTTTGAGAAAGGTCAAGTTTGGTCGGGTAGGTAAGGGATGAAGAGAAACATGGCTTAGTTCTGGGTCAGCAAAGGTTCTCTTGTGGTGGAAAAGTTCCAATCTTTTCAAATTCGGACAGCACTTTTGCAGTATTTCGTACAATGTTGGGGTCAAGGCTTCATCCTTGAAAGTTATGCTCAAGTCTTCCACGAGCCGACTGAACTTATCGGAAACGTGGAGTAATTTTGATTCGGCGGAAATTCTTCGAGTTGGTTCATGTTCGTCGTAATTTTGCAAGCATCCATATTCTTCAATACTTTTTGCAAGTCGGGGGTCCATGTTGATGCAGAATAATTGAAAGGGGGTGGCGTGGCAGCAATCCACTTCATCCGGGTCGCGGGACCCGGACGCAGGCTCTTGGAAAAGCCGCAGGGTCAGTCTCGGTTGTGGAAGCGAGAGGATGATTTCATTCCATACGGTGCAAACGAGGCGTAGTATTTTTGCAGAAATGGGTGTGTTTTGCAATATTTTTTCGGCAATCTTGGAAAAAAATATTCGTTTATTAAGAGCAACGTAATTTCGTGTTGTTCTACTTTTAAAAAAATTTGAAACTTACGATTGGATTTTGGAGAGCTTGATGCATCGCGTAATTTTGTGGTTGTGGTTCTTCCATGATTTTCTGGGAATGTAAAAATTGTAAATTTTGAAAATGAAACGTTGACCCAGTGTCCTCTCGAAATATAAAATATGAAATAACATACTTAAACCTAAATTAAGTATAAGACAATTCACGCAGTCATTGGTAACTTTGTAAAATAAGTTTACAAACATCTGCAAATAAAATGACGCCATTAATCTGAGCAAGTTACAAAAATGTGTGTGGTATTTTTCCTTACAAACATTTGTACAATTTTGTAAAAAATTTAAGGTTACAGAATTTTACAATGTTACCAAGGGATGCGTGAATATACATAATTATTTACTAACCTTAAATTTGGACAAGGAGAGATTGATGGTTACTTATTGTCGAATATGGGCAGGCAAGAACACGGATTTTGTAGCTAAATTTTTATTGAAGGTAAATTTTGCTATTAAATTTTTAAAATAATTCCAAAAATCCTGTGAAGAAAGTCGTGTTACACAAAAAGTGCAAATTGCGTAACTTACACAAATCTTATTCCTTTGTGACGTGGAAATTACGTAATTCGCCGATCGCGTTCGGTCAGTCTTTGTCTTTAGATTATGTATCTGGAGGTATTCATGCATGTAATTTTGTTAACGTGAAACCTTGTGTTCTGGAAAAATTCGAAGAGTATGTACGACATGCACAAAAGACAGAATTAGAGTGATTATTATTCAGCCAAATTGGGTGTGCTTGTGTTCATACATATAAAGACGCCATACAGGATACATTCACATAGGAACATATTTATGATGTTAATAATAACAATTTGACAAATTCCGTAACTCACGTTAGATTGTGATACATAAGTAAGAACGGAACTTTATTAGGCTTTTAGCTGACCAGCTGCATTTTTATTAGCCATTAGCTTGGGTAGCTGAGAACCGAGAGTGGATATGTGTATGAACATACATACATGTGCACTAATTCCGCTGAAGTGTAAAATTCCTATGAGGTCATTTTCACATGCCAATAAACTTTCTAAACCAACTTACAATGGAACCTTTTTTCAAGCTACATCGGGATCGACTAACGAGTTATGTCAAAAATCAAGCCAAAAATTAGGAGTCACGTGACACTTCTCTTTCCGTTGAATGGCCCCGTTGAAGAAAAATATTTGAGGTCAAAGTTCACAAGAGCGCCCTGGTTTTCGCCCCGTGGAGGAAAACACAAGAGAAAATTTGCCTAAAAATTGAACTTTGACCTCAAATATTTATCTTCAACGGGGCCATTCAACGGAAAGAGAAGTGTCACGTGACTCATAATTTTTGGCTTGATTTTTTGACATAACTCGTTAGTCGATCCCGGTGTAGCTTGAGAAAAGGTTCCATTGTTAGATATTTTTGGATGAATACAGATAAATCCTTTTGACTAGCATGTGAATTTTAGGAACTTAATATTCTTCAGTTCGAACAAATTTACCAAAAATTTATGTAAATCGGTCGGTCTCAATGTCTACCCTTTAAGTGCACAATGCACTTCTTTCTATTTTTATTAAATATTTGCTACTGGCACTTTGTTTATTATGCCGACAATGCAATACAGGTTAATATTATGCTAAGAAAAATGCTATGCAAAATTCATTTGTACGACCTAAATATTTATTAACATCGTATAGATATAGTGCACATGTATATTTTTAAAAGTCAGCAGAATTGTAAACTGCATACTTCAACGATTTCATGCTAAAAAGTTAAGGCGTTGTTTAATTTGTTTGCCGTCAACTAATAATTTAAATATTTTCAACCAAACTCTGTTAAGCAAAGAATATAGTTTTTATTAAAATATGTGCATACATATTTACTTCGTAATCATATATGTATATGTATCTTCTACATATGTACATATGACGAATATGTGTGCTAATGCTATGAAGATGCCTGCACATATGTACATACATACATATACCAATATATATCAAAATTTTCATTGAATGAAATCAGCCAATCACATCACCTAATGATTTGACCTGCAATAAAGTATCCTAAATGAATCCAAACCAGTCCAAGCCTGACGCGGTCGTGTTCGCAAATGGACCGAATTGTTGAAGATTTGCCGGTACACGCACCAAAGACTTCATTCCTTCGGTCCATTTGCGAGCATTACATTATCTGGTTTACCGTTTACAACAAGTCCAATAAGTGCCACCAGCATTCATATGTATATGCACATGCGTGCATGTGTACTTAAATATACACCAGCACATTTTACTAATTTGAAACGACGGCAAGATTACTTATATAAATGTGATAAATAAGTAAATCTCGTGCCAATTAAGCAGTATATCTAATTGACACGAGTAATGCAAACTTCCATTATGATTTGCACGTAATACATCAATAAGTTTCACTCTTCTCCGTTTCTAGTTCACAAACATGTAAACGTCACGTTCCAGTCGAGATAAGATAAGTATATTATTTGTTATCCACTTCACAGCTTGGCAAAAATATCCTCCATATCGATTCGTTTGTCACGATACTAAGCCGTCTTGATCTGTTTCAATGCTATGCATGCAAATTAAGGTTCAAGAGGATAAAACTTTTGGCAAATTAAAAAACTTCCAGAAATGTCCCTTCTGAACATTTTATTTTTACAATTACGTAACACAATGCTGAATTTATTAATCGTGTATGTACGTAGATAAGTATTATTTTTTAAATATACGCGTATGTGAAATAATTGCGTTCACTTCAATTTTCAATTTTTATTCATACAAAATAAAGCTTAATATAATGTCCTCAATGCGACAAGGAATGTTCCCAAAACAGCCACCGCTACCCCAGAGTGTAACCCGTTCGCGTTATTTTGCCCATTACAGTCGTCCTTGGAGCATAAGCAAGTCTCCAAAGCGTTGGTACCATTTGCCGGAAAACGAAGAAAGGTTGTACCGTTCGGGAACGTGATTGTCCAATCGTAGTACTTATTGCACTTCCCATCATGAGTACTTTCCGCCAGTGGAATGCACGTTCTTAAAACGACCTTCTTACCGTTGGAAGTCCCCTTCCCAGTTCCGCACAAAGTCTTCACGGCGAGTACAGAATTCCGGGAATAGCTGGGAGAAGCCGTTACGGCTAAAATTTTAAGATCAGAGGTCATACATAATTGTGCTATTTTTTGCCATTTTTTTGCAATCTTACTCAAAAATTCTTCTGCTGTCCTTGTTCCACAATTCATTGAGGTTAAGTTTTTCGTATTGGACTCGCATTGTGGCGTCGAGATCGAAGAATTACTTCCTTGCAGGAAAAAGCAATTGTAACACTTGAGAGCTAAAACAGTGAAAATTTTAGGAAATCTTTAATATATAGTATAATGGGTTAGTTGTACATATATGTAGCTCTCTACCTTCGGTGGAAGGGATAACGACGAAGGCGAAAGTAACTGCTAGTACAACAGTTGTTAAATGTGAGAATGTCATTTTGCCAAAATTGAGACAGTTTTTCGCAATGTTACTTCTTCGACGGATGGACTTTGATTGGAGACTGTGACCAAGGTTTGATACGAAAAGAAAAGCAGCTGGGTTGTAAAGAGCAACACATTAAATCTTAGCTCTCCCGTTTTAAATAATTTTTAAGAATTTTAAACTGCAACTACAGTATTACCGTTTACATTGTTTTAAAGCCCCAACCTTCCTGATCATTTGTAATACAAAATTAATAGCCATACTCATCATAATTCGACATAAATCGACAAAAAGAAGGAGGAGGACGGAAAATTTCATTTCTCACCAGTACAGTCTTCACCAAAAGTAAGTTCTCTTACTTAAAGTATATGTCCTGCCTTTGAGAGGACCCGTCTCTTCCAAATATATTGGTCAAAAGATACTGGCACAGAATTTATATTGTGAAACAGGCCCACATCGACTGGTAATCATGCCGACCACAAGCCCAGATCGCCAAACCTCCCCTACTCATCGCCTAAAAAGATAGATCTCGACCTTATCTATAAAACCATGCTGAAACAATTCAAGGATGTCAAAGACACACAATCGCACATTATGAAACGACTGGATAATATGGAGGCGGAGAAAGAAAAACTTGTTGAAAACCAGATAGCTATGCAAGAGAGCCTTACGTCGTTCCAAAACGAGGTTAAAAGCGATTTCCAGAATTTTGAAGAAAAATACGACGAGGAGATTAGAAAAATCCGAAAACTAAATAATTTGGTGGTGATGGGGATCCCTGAAACAAATGACGGACAAAAACTTCTCACGGACCTTCTTAAAATCATCTACCCCACTTCTTACACCTCTCTTAAACTTGATGAAAGGATAGGACAGCTCACCACATCATCTCTACGACCGGTCAGGCTACGCTTTAGTAGCGCAACGGAAAGACAGTTAGCTCTGGACAATTGCAAAAATCTAAAGGGATTAGTCCAATTCGACAAAATATCTGTCAAAAAAGATCTCACAAGGAAACAACAAGAACTCAAACAAAACTCCAGGACTCCAGTACAAACAAGATCTCGTAGCTCACATAAGCGACCGGCAGATGATCACGCGTCCGGAATTCAATTTCCAACACAAAAGCAGCGAAGAACCAGAAACTCCGACCCTGGAAGTCACATGGACACACAGTGAAACTCATCTATACATTTTAATCACCAAACACCATTAATAATAGGACACCTAAATGTAAATTCTATCCGAAACAAAATATTCTTAATTTCTGACTTCCTGCATGAACATAAAATCGATATTTTTTGCATGACTGAGACAAAGGTTTACTCAAATATTAAAATAATGAATATTCCAGGTTATGAAATAATCCGTAGAGACAGAACTGGATCAGGAGGCGGTGTAGCAATTATCTACAAATCGTATGTGAAGTGTAAGATGTTGGAGACGAGTACTATTACTAATGATGAATCCAAGATTGAGCTACTCTCGTGTAAATTCCAAATCGGCATGAGAAAATCATTCATTGTTTCTGTTTTATACCGACCTAAATTTAATTTGACTTTAAGTGATATTGACTTTTTTGAATCAATTATATCCGACCTCAAACTATTTAAATGCAACTTCTTTATCTGTGGTGACTTTAATATACATTTAGAAAATACTTGCTCACCAAATGTTAAAAAATTTAATCGACTACTTCTCAGACATAGCCTACGCGAGCTAGTACAAACTCCAACGAGGCAAGGAGCAAGACTCGACCTTATTTTGACCAATGATGACGACATAAGCATCACAGCAAAGACATGTCAACCGCTGGTGTCCGATCATGACGCAACCTTTATAAGTAAGCTAATAAATCGACCATCGAGACTACCTAAACAAAATATAAGTTTTAGGGACTATAACAACATAAACAAATTAGCACTAGCAAACGATGTGCAACAAATTAACTTCGACGATTTGACCAACAAAACCGTGGCGGAAGCTTGTAAAATACTTACTACTAAAAGTCTTGAACTTTTTGACAAGCATGCACCTGTTCAAATGAGATCTATTCAGCAAAAACTCGTCCCAACATTCATGTCAAACTTTACAAAAAATATCAAGAAACTACGTAACACACTGTACTCATGCCATAAATTAAACCCACCCCATATGACAATGACAAGACTTAAGATTGTTGACAATACTTTCAAAAAATCATTTGCAAAGGATTGTCGGCACAAAGTAGAAAATGACATTAAAACTAGAGGAGTTTGGAAAGTAAAGGACGAATTATTTAGACAACCACGAACGAAGCTTTGTACTGACATTGATGAGTTGAATGAGCATTATGCTAATATTTCTAACCAAATTGTAAATGCAGATCTTCCGACAAAACCAAGCAAGCTGGACGTAAAATCAGTTTTCAAATTTCAAAAAATCACACCACGTATGGTTTTCCGATCCTGGACAAAACTAAAAACTCGAAAACGAACGAGTCCAGACAGTACATACATTTCACCTATAATGTTAGACTATACAATTGGTTGTCCCACCATTGCTGAAGCTGTTTCGACTCTGATAAACAGATCTCTATTTGAAAATGAATTTCTTACTACTCTAAAAACTGGCCTGATAACTCCCATACCAAAACTTAAATCGCCTTCTGCACCCAACCACTATAGACCTGTAGCTGTCCAACCAATCCTATCCCTCCTTATAGAGAAATGTGCCCATGAACAACTTGTAAATTACTTGACTAAAAATAACTTACTTTACCCAGGACAATTTGGGTTCAGACCTGGACATTCTTGCGAAACGGCGATGGTAGCGGTGACGGAATATATTTATAATCAAGTCAACTGTAACAATATTTGCATGCTAATTGCCTTGGACCTGTCCAAGGCATTCGATGTAATAATTAGGGAGTTTTTGCTTGAAAAGTTGTCCTGGTATGGCATTGACCCCAAGTGGTTTGGATCTTACTTGAGTTACAGAATGCAAGTAGTGAAAGGTGATAATGGCAAACTGTCTCAAGTGCGATTCACACTACGTGGATGCCCCCAAGGTAGTATAATGGGACCTTTTTGCTTCAAAATCTACATTAACGACCTGCCGTCCGTAATAAAAAACTGCTTGTGTATTATATTTGCAGACGATACTCAGCTAGTTATCGCGGGACCGGTACATATGCTCCCCTATCTTATTCATAAACTCAAATCCGACCTACTTGCAATACTTGAGTGGATGGACAAAAATGGAATGACATTAAACTTGGACAAAACACAATTTATCCTGATAGGTAGCACGTCAAATTTAAATAAGGTCGGTGTGGTTGAATTTGAAGTGAATGGTATTGTTATCAAAAGTCAAAATGAACTGAAAAGTCTCGGACTCATCATTGATTCAAAGCTTTCCTGGTCGAAGCATATAAATAGCATTTCAAGACGGTTTCATATGGTTGCTACATCACTGTATCCGCTAAAAAAGGTCATGAGCCAAAGTAGTTAGATCCTCATATTTCAAGCATGCTTAATTTCATTGTTCAACTATATGGTTATTATTTGGGGATCAAGCTGCGCTGTAAATTTAAAATGTCTAGAAATGTCAATTCGTCGTACGGCCAGATTTATTCTAAATGTAAAGAAGTATGATTCTGTCAGTAAAAAGATGAAAGAAAAACTCAGATGGCTCCTCCCTAAAGATAATTACTATTTCAAAGCCTTCTGTTTTTTCTTTCAAACCAGACAAAATCCTATACCATTTTTTGAATCGTTTCTCGAAAAAAATTCTGACTTCCATAACTATCCAACACGCTCATCTAATCTGTTAAGAGTAAATTTTTGTCCAAAAAATAGCATGAGTTCTAAAAGTCTTCATTTCACAACTACTATGGAATAGGTTACCTACTGAATTAAAGGAAACACAAAACTTCAAACTTTTTAAAACAAATCTTAAAACCTTGTTCTTAAATTATGATTATGAATTTATCTCTACTTTATTATCCTAAAATATATGTACATATAATTTTAATTCTGCTCTTTATGACTAAGTCACAATTATAAATTATATTATTATCACTCGAATTCTTATACATGTGACAAACATTTATGTAAAACTTTTTTGTGTTAGCCGTCAAGCGTAACAAGATTTTTTGTAAATCAAGCTTGATGTGAATAAATCAAATCAAATCAAATCAAATACGTTTTAAGCAAGGTAGAGTTGATAAGTACATGGCCTTATCAGATTTACTTTGTCCATTGTAACATACTTATTGCTGATATCCTGCACAACTAAGGGGACGACGCTTATCTGGAATTGGAGAATATTCATAAATCATTAAACGGTGTGGTGGGGGAGGAAAAGCTAGGTCGGCTTGAGCCTCATGTTAGAAACGGGGATAAAGGGCAGAAACAATAATTGGGCTTTTTGCATTACGTAATTTATGAGCAGATCTCTGATCCATGAGCAAACAATTACTCTTTTATGCTTTGTGTTACTTGTTTATTCGGGCTGACTCATACACACGAATATGGAACTTCAACCGAATTGAAGATAGATATGTGCATAATTAGTATTTTGTTAGTTATATACCTGACCTCATGCATACAATTGGCAGGCATGTTTCGACATAAATACGTACATATTAATTACGTCGTTATACGTTTTTGATGATGTGTCACATATGATACGTATTAAAGTACATATGCATATAATTATCAAATGTAGAGTGATATTTAAATACGTTATACGTATGCACATATTTACGTGTGAATGATTGGATCAGTCAGAATAAACCAGAATGTACATTGGATTGTTTCGATGTGGTCATGGGAAAACATCTCATATGATTCGTATTTATATATATTTATATAAATGATTATGATTGAGTTGTATGTATGATTGAGTTATAAATATGATACGCTGTCCTGCATGCAAAAACACGTATGTAGGCATAAATATTTATAAGATGCATGAAGAAGGAATGAATCGTCTATAATGCACGTTTTCCTATTATTTTTTTTAATAGTTGCTCTATTGAAATAAATTAGATTTGTTACACGAAAAGTTTCCTGACAGATACGTCATACTCATCAAACATTTCTTTGTTTACTATGCTAGAATGCAGATAATTACACATGCGCAAATATTGTAAGTACTGTAATTGATGTTTTAAGTTTACGTTTGTACACTATTGATACATATATGTACGTACAAAATATTTTAAACTGCCAACTTAAACTGCTTATAATTATGTATGCATGTATATATATTATATATATACTGACATATATATATGTGTATTTGTGCATACATAAAATATTGCATATATAAAATATATGTATATATATATATAAATATATATATATATATATATATTATATATTATATATATATAAATATATATATAAAATATATGTGTATTTGTGCATATATAAAATATCGTGTCCAAAATTGCGTATGCAATTTTGGACACGAGAGTTGCATGCAATTAATGAAATTTTTTTGAAATGTCCCTACTTAATGATTTATTTATCTCACAAAAAAAGTTACCCATGCTCGATATGCATATGGTGCATTTTTCTGGATAGGTAACATGTACAAAAGTAAGTATACATTTTAGCATGCAAAATAATTACGATCATATATTTAAATAGTCAATTTTTATTCATTTAAAAAACTTATTATTATTTAATACAATTTCCTCAATAAGGTCAAAAACGTTCCCAAAACAGCCACGGTCACCCCAGAGTGCAGCCCGTTTGCTCCGTTACATTTGTCTTTCGAGCACAAACAAGTGTTCAAGGCGTTGGTGCCATTGCCTCGAAAATCAATGTAGCTTCCATTCTGGAACGTGATTCTCCAGTCGTAGTACTTATTGCATTTTCCATCGTGACTACTTTCCGCGTATGGAACGCACGCCCTTAAAACGACCTTCTTACTGTTGTAACTTCCCGTCCCTTTCCCGCAAAGGTTTTTCGGAGACCGAACCGAATTCTGGGTGTAGCCGGGAATCAGGGTAGCAGCTAAAGTGTAAAATATGAGTTTTAATTAGGATTACAATTTAATGACATTCGTTTTGCGATTCAATCTTACTCATAGGTCCCTCTGCGCTCCTTGAGCCACAATATATCGGCGTTAAGTCCTTCGGTTTGTTTTCACATTGTGACGTCGAGGCATTATTTCCTTGTAGGTAGACGCAATTGTAACAGTTGAAGGCTAAAAATTAAAAATTGTAAAAATTTGAGGAAATTTGTATTTTAAGAAACTTATTTGGTGGCAAATCAGGTATGTACCTTCGGTCGATGGGATGACGGTAAAGGCGAAAATAACTGCGACTGCAATGGTGAATACGTGCGTGAACTTCATTTTGGAAAAATTTGTTTGCAAAAATTTGGAAAAGTTTCTTATTCCAGGGATGGGCAACGAGTGGAAAGTGAAACCAAGGTTGGAAACATTTTATGCAAAGGAAGACGTTAGTGAGGTACATGGCTTATCTGTTATCTGTTATGTGCTTATCAGGTTTACTTTGCTCATTGTCACATACATATTGCTCATATCCTGCATAATTAATGTGGCGACGTTTATCTGGAATTGTTCCACGACGAAACGATTACTCTTTTTTGAAGTGTTTATTAGTTATCCTAACATCCATAGAAAGGGTTTGAGCTGTGATGATTACACTTTGTGATTTAGGTAGGTGTGATTTCTGTAATTTTCACACCCTGTGGTTTCTTCGCCTGATTTCTGTGATTTAGGATATTATAATTATCCACTGGTGGAAAGAGAAATAGGTTCTTTAAAATGCATACTAACTATGTAAATAGATGGATATTGAGATTCGGCATGAAATTTTGAGCAGTTTGCTACATATGCATGTGACTTGAGCCGATTAGAAAAAAGTTGCATTTTTCATTTGATTTGTAGGTACATACATACATATGTAACATATGATATGTTAACCATGAAAGTTGATCAAAACACACTGCTAAGCATTTATGTTAAATCCGAATGCTAAGGTGGTTTAACTAAATTAAAGAAAGTTGTTCCATTTTACCTCATAATCACAGAAATATCAAATCACATAAAATCTCATTTTGATGAGGATTTTTTCTAACCCTGTTCGTAAATACATAGGTACGCCTGATTTACATATGGAACTTAAATTGAATGGCAAATAACCACGCAATGCGCATTCAACATACATAAATATTACCAAAACTTCAATTGTTTTAACAAAGTACATGTGTATGTACGGCACTGTAAATTTTTGTCGATGTGTCACATATTTAAGTACATAATTAATTATAAATGGAAGGTGATAAGTCGTACGTATTTTCATAAGTGCAAATGACTGATTCATTCATCATCAAGCAGAATGTACTTTAGTTGGTCGGATTGCTTCAATGAGGTCGTAAGAGAAATATGTACGAGTGAGTCATACATAAATATGATCATACGATACGATGTCCAGAAAACAAAATGATAATATTAACACTAATAATATCGCACAATATTAATGATATGTCCAAGCACTACACAAAACAGAAAAATTTAAGGATTAGTGAGACGTGGGTGATGCTACATAAATAAATTTGCAGTGCAAAAATTTTGCATATGTACATATGCATTTGTATGTGTAAGACATCTCGGTTTGCGTAAGGGCTGGTGTAAATAAATATGTAACTTTTGTTTCCAAAGTCCACTAATATGCAATGCCTAAATAATATTGTGAGGATTCATATTCATGAGCATAATTTTAAAGATACCGTTGAATTAACACATACACATGTATAACTCCATTATTTATCACAAAACAAAAAAGTTTAGATTTTGCCTTTATAAGTTGGTAGACGCTACGATATATGTATGTACATATGTATGTACAATAATCTCATGAATAAAGGTATGTGCTTGAAAAGATAATTATTAATGTGTCTATGGGCGAAGGACGTAATTTGCTAGCTGAGTTGACGTAAAAATATTAGTTACCGCAAACTCGAATGTAAAATGTTGCTTTAATTTAGAATACAAGTTAGTTTAGATACTCAGGGTCAAATTTATTTCTCACCAAGACAAACTTATCCAAGTGAACAAGGAACAAATTAAAATAATAATTGTTAATGTCATATATCTTAACAGTTAGTTACGCTAACTTTTAAGTATAAATTAGTTAAATAATAATAACAGTTAATTGTTAACTATCAATTTTTATGTAACGATTAGATTTGTAAGTTAATAAAGTATTCAAGTATCCAATATAAACTGTCATCAAATTAACTAGGCATTATTTCCCTGTAGTGCCCTCAACATTTTATTTCGCCGTTTGTTACGTTTGCGCTTTTGATTCTTACTCATTTTGTCTTCTTGATGACCTTGCATGTCAACCGACCCCGCGTTACTAATTGGACGAGCTGAATTCCGATCAATTCTTGCACTGATTGATCTCCTTTGTCCAGAAGAAGGATTACCTCCAGTACCGAGTGACCTTGCTTGTCCCGATGTCATGGTAGAACTTGCCCCCAACCGTGACCCAGTGTGCAGTGGATTAGAAAAAAATGTAGGGTAGTCAGAAAACTGACCCAGCTGTGGCGAGGGAGAGGCTGATTGCCATCCGAAATTTTCAATTGCCTCTATCGGGTCATCAAGATATGGCACCTGAACTGATCTAGCTGAACTGTAATACCGCTGTCCGTTTAAATAGTCTGGTTCGTCCTGATCGACATTTAACCTGAGTACCCGTCCATCTTGACGTTGACGTTGACGTTGACCTTGTTGTTGTCGAATCTCCCAGGGTGGAGTGCCTACAGTAAATAATTTTACGCCTGAGATATAATGTTTAATTATGCCATAAATCAATAATTACTGAGCATACCATGGCGTATACGCCACGGTTCGAGTGGAATGATGCTTCGATCAATTATTTGGACCTGGACAGCATTCAGATTGAACGGCATTCCAGCCTCCACACGTTCCACTTCGACGACGACGTCGTCACCAATATTGACTGGAGAAGGGCCGACGACAGCACTAAAAATAGTAGTATGAACATGTAGTGAATTGGACAGAAATTAATTTTTAAGTAGAACAACGTCACTGACCTCGTGTGGAAGAATATTTCGCCACCAACCATCCCAAATTGATTTTTATGCAGGTGGGTCACGACTCCGGACACGATTTCATTTTGTCCGTTTCTTTTTCGCTGGGGAGGAAATAGACTTTTTCCTCGAACCTGGTTTTATAATTCAAATCATTTATTTGTAATTAATTATGTAAATGGATAATTTTGTAATTAAGATTAATTGAGTCAAATTGACGGGATTTGTGTTGTTTGAATTTGCAAACCTGCCTAAACATGGGGTACATGTCAGGATAGGAAAACGTGTCCATTTTCGTAGTATAATTTACAATAAGATGAGATTAATGAGAAATTAATTCTGGAATTAATGAATAGTTTTTTTATTCGGACACCTGACCGGACGTGAAGTGAATATGAAGTCGGGTTGCAGATTTTTCCCATTTTCCGCGTCTCATTTTGGTACAGTGTCACTTTGTTCTTGTTTGCATTGCATATCACATGTAAAGACAAAAGGCGTTAGGACATGGTTTTGACGAATTCACGGGTGAATATCTCTGGCGGGGAGTTGAATTTTGCACTGATTTTTGGTAAGTTGCAAGATAATACTCTCAAAAAGATATATTTAAAATTTTAGGCCGATAGCTTTATAAATGCCCCCTCCAGGGCCCCCAGAGTTGGAAGGAGCCAAAAAAAACACTTTCCAAACTGAATTACTCATATAGCATGATAACCTAAGAGGTCAGAGGTGAATGATTGTTAATATTACAACCCTAGATAATCATTGCATGTAATAATAAAACAATCTACACGAATTACTTAACGTTGGGCCTCCATCGTCGCTGATACTATTTCATGAAAATTGATAAATCGGACCGTGCACAGGAAAATTGACCTGCTGACCTTCAAAGCGGACCCACTCGGGCAAATGAAGTTTGAGGGCAAAGCTCTAAGTGTCCCAAGTAATATTAAATTAAACAGTGAAGATTTTGTGCAAACAGTTTTGGAGAACGACCCTAGCTAATCAGCTGTCGCGGAATCCTAAAAAACTCGTGAACTTATTTGGAAAATTAATGATAAAATTTTTTCGAAAATAAATTTTACTAATCTTTTTGTGTCCCCTACTGCAGAACTATTTTATCTACAAGGTACAAGTGACAAAATAATAAAATTATTGCGTTTTGGTTAGTTAAATTATTTCTGAAGTTCGACATCGAAAACGACGGGAACTTTTCCAAAAAGTTTATAAGGTCTGATGAAAACTCAGTCCGTGGGGTATAACCACTTATCAAAATTTTGTCAAAAGTACTTACAATGCAATATACTATATGTACCTTGGATAAAAACCACGTTAGGGATTTTTAGCATCAAAGTCGTAAAATGTGGGGGCCTTAAAAGTGGAAGAGTTGCGTTAAAGAGCGCATTCCATTAGGACAAGTATGAAATTAGACTGCAAAACGGACTTAAAAGATAAGCATAAGGCAAACGTGGTTTTATATAGTGAAAAGCATGCTAAGTCCCTTGATAATAGTCGCAAAGAAGATTTTTGCATCAGGACCTCAGAAAAAAATATTTTGTTCGACGCCATTTTGTAAGAACACTGGTTTGGAAAACTAAAAAAGGACACCTCTCCAAATTTGACCTTGCCTCATTTCGCAGAGTACACAAAATCGGAAGCCAGATAGGCTTACCTATAGTTTGAGACATGGGCTTTCACATAAAAAAAGTTAGAAATCTCTACGACTAAAAACCATCCCGCAATTAAGGTATGAATTCGTCAAAACCATGTCCTAACGCCTTTTGTATTTATATTTTTGCAAAATGTTTCTTCCAAAATGTTTTATTAAATGATTAAGCATCCTGCATTAATTAACTATTTGATGGCTTATATTATTAGAAATAACTATTAGAAATAATGTAATATATCTAATAATGCAAATGTTTAATCTAATAATGTAATATCTATCTGATAATATCGGTGTTGAGAAGTGTGTCTCCATTTTTAATGCAATTTGCACACAGTATATTAATTGTACATGAAAGCTAAAATATTATTTTATAAATTTAAAGTAAACTATGAATATAACAAAATTTCCACGGTTTCAAATTAATATCTTGGTTGGACATTGAATTGGTTGACGTCGTAGACTTGCGCCATGCATCTGGAGAGGTCATGTTTAGGACAGACTTTGACCCGGTTGGGTCCCTTCCGCTCTATACGCTGCATGTCAGAAAATATTGTTAATAGGCACATCTTTGCAGGATATTTTTATTTAAATATATTTAAAGTTGTGTTTAATACCACAGGTCGTTTAAAAAATCTCGGGTCACCACCTAAATTTAATAATTACATATTCCAATTTGTGATTTTAGAAAATTCAAATTTAAAACAACGAGGTAAATCACGCAGGCCTCAGTAAAATCATAAAATCCGGAAATTCCATAAACTTACAATCTTTTACAAAATTTTATAAATATTTCTAAAGAAAACGAGCTCACCAATTTTTGTAAACTTTCTCATATCAAGAGCCTCTTTTAATTTTGTAAAAGTTTGTAAAATTGCTTATTTTGTAAAACTTACGGATTTTACAAGTTACAAATGACTGCGCAAATTTCCTCATTAAATTCAATGACTCACCACCATAACCAGGGTTATCACTGATCTCGTGGGCAGCGTGGACAACTATCTCACTGGTTAGGTCGGAAGGATGATAAACGAGGGGATGATGACCATCCAGGCCGAGGGGATTTGTTGGTCTCGCGATGACAAAAGTTACTGACCCCGATGCAATGATAATATAAACCTGAATAGAAAAATCATGCACAGCTTTTCAATTAGAATTGATGTAATTATAATTAATAAACAACATACCACAATTTGACAAGATTTCACGCCCATTGGAAACTAATTATATATTTTTATTAATATTTATGAAAACACACATGACAAATAATTTCAGTTGTGGGAAATAATACCTCGTCACACGAAGCAAGAGGTGCAAATACAGGCGTCTATTTATACATACATGCGTTCATATACGTAGAGTGTGAGGTAGGATTTTTTTGTGGTCAGTAATTTAAATCAGGTTGACGTATTCAAAGAGAAAGGCAGGTGGTAAACTAATTACATATTTTATTGACACTGATCCTTTACAATTCATTTGCATGCAGTTGTATCCATATACTGGTTTGTTGCCCACGCCCAAAATCAGCAATCAGTTAAGCTAATTAATCACTGTTCAATACACATACATAATTATTATGCGAATTCGTTTACATATTATTCAAATTAAACTGTTGATAAGGCAGGGAAATAATTTCACAACTAAAAATAACAAGTACATGCATGCATGTATGCATACACAAGTCTTCAATTATGTATAAATTGAGCAAGTAGGAAGAGAAGAAGTCTGGAATACAAGAAGTAAATTTATTAGAATGGGGACAATGTCAACGCGAGATTTGTATGTAATTTGCGTTGTCAGGCGTTGGATAAACTAAGTTTTACAGTGTTTTGTTAATCAACTGTAAGATTAATAGTTGATTAATTGCTGTTAACACATTATGTACAAATATATAATGTATTAATTACTCGATACGAGATAAACATGAAAGTAATCATTCTTGAAAAAGTAAAACATTGGAATACGAGCAAATTAAATATCTGCAGTTAAGTTAATTAAACAGCATATGTATGTATCAGACCCTTTAACTTTGTGAAAATCTGCAATAATACGCAAATAATGAATGCTTAAATACGGAATTATTCCTCCCAACGCGACAAAGTAATCGGGAGAGCGTGTTCCTCAATAAATTCTTCAAACTCGATCCTCTTCTCCTCCTCCATCTAAATTTAATTAAACGATAGATAAAAAATGTAAATATTTACCAATTATTGATGAAGCATAAAATTAATAACTTTGCTACATTGGAACTCACCCGAAAACGTGACATTTCAATCCATCTCAGTGACCTGCACGACAGCAGAATCTCTTCCATCTCATAGTTTAGGACAAACCTGGGACCAAATTTCCCATCCAATCCCACAAATTTAACTGCTATCGGTGTCAGAGCTATTAGAAAATCGAAGCCAATTAATAAATTATCCCGATTTTAAAATGAAGATATTCCAGTTTACCCTTCCAAGTCACCAAACCTAGCAATACGGCCCTGACGTAAGTCGAATCACAAACGTCCTCAATCTCTACCAATGCAGAGGTCAAATTCCATGTGGCGAAAGATCCTAAGGTATCCCTTAGTTCCAAGAAATCAGTCTCATCCTCGCAAATGACGAACTTTAATCGCAATTTTTTTACTGACGGAAACAGGCGAGCGATTTTGGTGGCAGTTTCAACCTCATTAAAGTAAACGGTTTCCATGTCAAGCGACGTAATCCCGGCGTGGGGTAGATGAAAATTTTTAAATATATCGGTCAGACTAAAATATCCGTTATTGTAACCAGAGAAGGTTACTTGAGTTAGATTTGGGAGATGAACAGAATGCAAAAAATTCCCCAAGGGTTGCATATCCATGATCTCGATTGCCATCAGATTTGGGATTGAGGGGAGCATTAAAATCTACATAAAATTAGCATAATAATTATAACCAAATTGAATAAATATGCACAATCACAATGCCACAGAGGGGAGAACATGTGTTCGAAATTGATTACCGGCGGCTGCGCAAGCTCCCAGTCAGTGTCGCAACTCAGAGTCAACCTGGTCAAATAATTTCGGCAAGTGTCCAACATCCTGGTCAACTTGGGAACGTCGACGTACACTTCTTCATCTACCCAGAAGTCGTCGAATCGGATGAATGTGTAAACAAGCGTCTCTAGTTTCGTACATGGGGTGAAGTCTGGGTAGAAGCTAGCATTAATGGCGACATGTAGAATATTAGGGGAGGAATTGAGTAGTCCTTGACATATGGAGGATATTCCCCTGTCCTGGATCATGTCATTTTGATCCTTGACTACTAACTTGATAGACTTCAGGTTTGGCAAGGTCAGAAATTGTGGGATTTTTGGGGTCACCACGACAAACTCAACATCGTCTTCTTCATCATCTTGGTTTGCGTTATAATTACCACTCAAATGTTCAGAAAGACTAAGATATCCAACTTTAATCATAATGACAGTAAGAGTGAGATGTAGAAGGTTCGGGAAGTAATGCATCCTCCACAATTGCTCCAACGCCGGTTCAAATTTTGAGCTCATCGTAACATCGAGTTCCACAACGTGATGGGAAACATGTAGCAAATTGGCGATCAAGTTTTTTGGTAGGGAAACCCAATCACAGTGTGATGGAAGCATAATCAGTCCGACACTTCTTGCCAGTTCCGGGCGAAGGGAATCCAGTTCCTTGGACTTGGAGATTACTTTTCGGCAACAATTCTCAAAGGTAACGGAGACCTGTTTCCCGAGGAATGAGGCGCCCAAGTCGGCCCACAGGGTGCACACGGATCGGGCGGATTTTAGAGTGGGGGCGTCCATATAAGACAAGATGAGGTTCAGTACCTGTGGTGAAAAGTGTGATTAATATTTATTTTAATATTTTAAGACAGTAATTTGTACCAAAGGATTCATCAGCGCCTTGGTTGACGCGTGGATGTCCAAGTTGTCCATCTCAGTCGACGCCCAGAATTTATTGTCCACCTCCTTATTAGTAATAATCACGGATTTAGGTATATCGATGATTGAATTAATTAATTACTTTGAATTATTAATTAATCATTTCTTCACTCTTGCTACTCTTGCAAAACGATGTGCAGATGATCCTTGTCTTACCTATTTTGTCGTTACTTTGAAAGGTATACAAAAATAAGTGCCCTTTTAATTAATTGCTCATCAAAATTACAAGTTATGAAGTCAGCTGTAAGTGTAAATATTGTCCTACTCACACCTGCAAAATTTGTGCGTATTAAACGTTTAACCCGGTTCATCACCTGGGGAATGGTGAGACTACAAATGCAATGGGTTTCAAATATGGGACGCCTTAACATGGTGTCACATTTTTCCTGCATTGAACAACTTTTGTTTCCAACTGGTTTAGAAAGATGACAACTTTTACACAAACAGCTACGATAATTGATAATATGAACATATTTCTTCGTATAAACGTTTTATTTTTAAATTAACGCTGTAACACAGATGAAACAAAGAGTGAGCATAATAATACATGAAATATTTTACATATTTCAATTTTGAGATATTTTCCATTTTTAATCATGAACTAATTTTCCCAATGTCAAGTATGTACGAAACATAGTCTGGCGGAGTACATAACTTAACGTTATCCATGCAATTAGATCGACACTAATTCATATATTATGTAGCCTAGTTTTTTATTCGGGTTAGAAGTTTATAATGTTTATAATGCAATTTAATTACAACAATTTAACTACAAAATCAGTTTTACTTACATACATAGATATGTATACATTTGCTATTAAATGCTTAATCTGCCTTTGGTATCGTTAGTGGCAATTTGGAAAAAGTTGCATCATTTTTAAATTAAATGCTATATTCGTTCCCATATTCGCACAGCCGCATTTCTAGGGCGAGTTTCAGTTCCTGAATTTTGAAATCTTAGCCCATCATACGCACTTGACGTAGTGGGATTTTCGCCACTCATTACGTAACCAGACCATCCCGAAGTTGGAACATTGATGGAGGTCGGATAACTCGTTGTTGTCGCGTAACTCACGCTACTCATCCTCAGCCGGTTACTACTTTCAGTCTGAACAGTGCCAAAGGGAGCAGCCGTGCCGCCCTCTGTGCGGAAGAATAAACCGCTATAAGTACTAGTATATACATTACGCCAAATCAAGTTTGGCCATAACGTTTGGGGTGATGGATGGAATGGGAGCTGAACGTAGATAAATCCGATCGGAACTGCATATTTAAAAATATAATTACAATCTGCGTTTCTAAATATATTGATAATATTTTTTTAAGTCTGACCTGGATTGTCCCTCAATTGAAACAGAATTTCTTGCAGTTCTGGTACCGTCAACATTGGTTTCTTCTCACACACGACCAAATTTCGTTTCGAACAGGGAACGTCTTTCCATTTTCCATCCTCAGTAGCATCCACCTCGGCTTGACGCCCAGCCTTGGGAGACATTTCCATGCAGAGATTGACCGTTTGATTTGTAGGGAAACCGTCATCCCAGTTGGTAAACGACATCCAGTCCCCATCCCGCCAAACGAAATGGGTGTCGTTAAGTCTATCACCGTTTAACCAGATGCTGTTAAGTACCCCTAATTCTTGAAAGATCCACGCATTCAGAAAATCCTGCTCAGGTTGTGATTTTATGGAGAGAAGACGCTATGTTTAATGGTTCCGTCGGGATTGAGGCACAAGTCTCTTCGGCCACTTCCTTCGTTTCAAAGTTGTCATAAAATCTGAGACATTTTGAGTCTTCAAAGGAGATCCAGTCTCCTCCGCACGATATAGCAGCTAAATAAGTAGCAAAGGTGGTTCAATTAAAACAATTGTGACATGCCGATAATTTTTATATTTGGGACTGACTCGCTTGTTCGAAAACTTGACACAGTATCACGGCTGCAACGAAGTAAGCCGTCAGCGTCATTTTGTTGCAAGACAGGCTAAGTGCAAGGGACAGACTGAAGTTATCTGAATAGTTTTGTGTTAATGAATTTGATTAGGCGGGTGCTTTTCGTTTTATACGAAAGTCCGCAGTGGATTTTGTGAAATTTGATGAATGTCAGGGGCATTTCGTAACCATAAATTCCAAGCGTTTATGTAAGTGCTGTATTCAATTAATTGAATTATTGTGTATTGTTACGTGTTCGATTCAATCAAATCAATTTCGGGATCTCACAATGGAAGTTACTTGAAATTGATACCAGTTGGTATTTCCTGGACTGTTTAACATCTATTGAAATACATGTACCGAATTATTTAAACGATAAAAGAGTTACAGTGACTTTTGACATGTTCGACATAAATAGTTTAATTGGATCCATCATTGCATCATAAATATCGGTAGATACAACATGAAACATAACGCCATGTGGAAGTAAGCATAGGTTAACGTTGGTACAAGTGCAGCTTTAATTATTTTCTACAAGTTACAGCGCAAAATTAATTTAAATATTTATTACTATTAATCAAAATCAAATGAGTGCATTAAATTCGTATTTACGTAAAAAGAAGGTTTTAAGTCATATTTAGTAATTTAAAGAAAACTACCATTCTCACTTTTCCCAAATTGTCCTTATATGCATATGTATACGTAACCAATAAGTTATATATGCTAAATATTAGTTTTTTGCATGCACAAAACCATATCGAATGACAATGTCTTATTATATCTATCCTCGGTAATTAAATTATGCTGACCATGTACATGTGCATAGCATTGGTTATATGGAATATGTATTTACATGCCGACAAGCTACTTTTTCGTGTAATATGAAATTGATTGAAACTTGTTTGAATTACATATTAGGGAAAAGAGATTGTAAATTCTGTAAATATGTTGATTCAATTAAAAGAAACATGTCCAAAACAAGCTGGACATATTCTGGAGAATGTTGGATTACGAAATATAAATGTCCTTCATCCAAGTTCACAAAATCCAGTGAGAATTACCAATATATATAAGGGAAGTTAATCATCTTATGTTACTTGAAGACCGACTATCGTTACATTAGCCTCACTATGTCCATCAATCATTTAACATCCGCAATCTACTTGGTATTTATTGTATTAATTGGTCACAAAATTCGATTAACAGGTGCTTGAAATTATATATTGCTTCTAATTCGTGCATTATGACCAATTTAAAAATCCTTTTAGCTGGTACATCGTGCGGCGAGGACTGGATCTCCTTTGAAGACTCAAAATGTCTCAGATTTTATGACAACTTTGAAACGAAGGAAGTGGCCGAAGAGACGTGTGCCTCAATCCCGACCGAACCGTTAAACACGTCACGTCTTATCTCCATAAAATCACAACCTGAGCAGGATTTTCTGAATGCGTGGATCTTTCAAGAATTAGGGGTACTTAACAGCATCTGGTTAAACGGTGATAGACTTAACGACTCCCATTTCGTTTGGCGGGATGGGGACTGGATGTCCTTCACCAATTGGGATGACGGATTCCCTACAAATCAAACGGCCAATCTCTGCATGGAAATGTCTCCCAAAGCTGGGCGTCAGGGCGAGTTGGATGCTACTGAGGATGGAAAATGGAAAGACGTTCCCTGTTCGAAACGAAATTTAGTCGTTTGCGAAAAAAATCCAACGTTGACGGTACCAGAACTGCAAGAAATTCTGTTTCAATTAAGGGACAATCCAGGTAGATTATTTTTTATGTTTTTGAATATGCAAAGTGAGTTTCGAAACGTAAATTGTGGTTCTATTTTATTTTTAAATAGTTCCGGTTGGGTTTATATATGTTCAGCTGCCTTTCCATCCATCACCGCAGACGCTGTGGCCAAATTTAATATGGCGTAATGTGTCGAGTAGCTATGCAGGCTTATTCTACAGGGCAGAGGGTGGCTTAGCTGCAAATTTTGGAAGTGTACAGGCCGAGAGCTGCAATCTACTCAGCAATGTTAATTTTGGCTGGATGACCAGTGTTCCAAACTCTATTTCTGTCCCTGAGTCTGGATGGTCTCCACATCTTAACGTTGACTTAGATGACTCATCGCCTGTGACGTCACAGGTCTAAAAATCTGCACATTTTTACTCATTTCTCGGCTCTGGGAATGTACAGTATGTAACTTATTTAATGCTACGATTTTTAATTTCAAATTCAACTTCAATTTTCTCGAGAACAAGCTGATATTTCAAAATTGTTTTCATACCAATTATTCACCATATATTGGACTACATTGATGCAAATTTTCAAAGTAATGGAGATAAAACTGTTAAATCGGCAAATATTTTAATATCAAAATATTGCGAATTGCACGTTACATAATTAATGCTACGGGGGTATTAGCGGTTCAATATTTCGTCAGACCCCAATAACTGATTGAAATCGTTTGGTAATCTAATCCACAAACCGATCGGTTATGCTACGGTCGATGTTTGTTAACTTTTCTGTGATGACGGGTGTGCCGGGGAGCCGTGCTTGTCAGTTTTAATGTTGTCACCAGACGCTGCAGAATTTTTGGGTTATGATCGATCGAGTGGAGGTCAAGAAATTTGAAATTCAGTCCAAAACCTTTGTATCATTGTCCTTGATGCATTTTGAGATAATTTTTGTAATATTTGTCTAATATGCGACGTTTCTGAAAATAAATCTCTGACCAAAGTCTGTCTTTGTTGAGAATTGGCCAATATTTATTTCTAACAAATCAAGGTAAACCTCTTTGGTCATGATCCCAGCGACGCACGTCAATGTTACTACACTGAGGCAACATAAACTGCCCCAAAACTTTATCTCCCTGCAAGATTTCGAAAGTTTCACATCAGGATTTGGCGGTACAAATAGCCCTGATTTCCTTATCTCTGCTATGTTTAATAGCTTGTCTCAGAAATCAATTTCTTAAGACTTATTTGGGCTCCTTCCGCACTCTTATCGTTCCATCTGAGCTAAAAAGTTGAATTAGGGTCTAATCTGAGAACAAAAATTGTTTCCGGTAGCCATGGGATCATCTTCTCTTTACATTGCCCACGCAAAGCGTTTCTTGTGATTATTCGCTAAGGTGTATTGTGTGGAATTTGGAATTTCCCCAGATATTCCTGCGAATACCAGCCTGTGTCTAATCATTCATAGTTGTACAGCAGTAAAACGGTCACTTTGAACATCTTTCGCAATTTCTGGCGCGGACAGACAAGCATCATTGTCACTGTTTTTACAATCGTCGCGTGCGGGTGTGGTGTTTTACCGGGTTTACGACCCTGACGGTTACAATTCGCTACAGGTCCTGTAGTTTCCGTTTCTCCGGTGAACCTTGGAACAGATCCTGCGTGTATTTTAAATTGTATCCAAAGTTTCCTTAAAGTTAGGCGTTATTAATGGAGGGAGGTCACTTTCCCAATACTTTGATATTGAGAACGGTGTCCTTTGTTATTTATTTATTTTAATTCGGCAGATTATTTTCATTTGTAGCAGAAATACTACAGAATTGTTTATCCGTTCGAAATTCTGCTCTGTATTTAGGAAAGACTGCAAATTTGTACCGGATGTGTATCGTAGCATTAATTATGTAACGTGCCATTCGCAATATTTTGACATTAAAATATTCGTGTATTCTACAGTTTTATCTCCATCCCTCTGAAAATTGGCCTCAATGTAGTCCAATATATGGTGAAGAATTGGTATGAAAACAATTTTGAAATATCAACCTGTTCTAGGGAAAATTGAAGTTGAATTTGAAATTAAAAATCGTAGCATTAAATAAGTTACATACTGTATTTTTAAATTCCATCGGGTCATTTTGTAGAGAAGGTCAGTACCAATTTATTAAAAATATGCACTGTAGATTTTGACCCGTTTTGAAGGAGGAATACCAAAAAGAGCGAAGGCCTTCAGAAAAATTGATATCAACAGAATTGGCTTATCTTCTTTAAAAAAACTCATCGCTATCCCATTAATCAACTTACTGACTACAAAATGACCCGACGGATTTTTTATTTTTCATTTTATTGTTCTAGAAAACGATTTTGAAATCATGGTGTGTAAAGTAACTTTGGTATGTAGGTAAACTTGAGTTCATCATATGGAGTACATTACCCGAATGAGCCGAATTATTTTATTATTTTACACCGGTTTATTTTATTTTGGCGTTTACATTATTCAATTTCGTATGATTTTTACGCCAAAATAAAAATAAGTGGTACGAAATAATAAAATAATTCGGCTCATTCGGGTAATGTACTCCATGTTAAAAAGCTTTCGCGCTGAGTTTTTTGCCGTGAGATTTTTTGAGACGATGAGTCACCTAAGTCAACGTTAAGTCGGGAGAGGATCCAAACACATTCAGTGGATTTGATGGGCTTCGTTTCCAAAATTCTGGAGCTGAGACTCGACCAGAAAATATGGCTGTACGAATATGGCAAAGAATATAAATATTTTTAGCTGTTTATATACGTGGGCTATGTAACAGCTAAATATTTACCCATTAGATTCATATTCATAGATCTAGTCTTCATTAGAACAATTCCCCAAACTCGTTAGATTGCATGCGTTTTTGCTACATGTAAATTATGGAGCTAGTAATTAATACGCATATTTATATATACATTTATATAAGCACAAACAAACATTCATACTTATATTGCTAAATGTGGTCACAGTAAAAAAGGAACAAAACATTTGATTTCCACATCTATCTATAAACTGCCTCCATACTCCATGGATTCTTCACGATTTAATTGGTTCATGATTTCAGCATGTTAATCGTCATAACAATTTCAGAAATCAACCAATGGCACACTTGTCTATAAGAAGTAACCAATTACAAAGAAGAAATGTAGAAATTTAAACTTGCTTCTGACATTAACTCGACCTAATTTGATTCCACGAATAAATATGTATGCATGCATACGATAGCCACATGCAGGCATTCCCCAGCAGTAAAGCATGTTTTTAGTTTAACAAGGAAACCCAAAAATGTATACCAAAAATCTCTTCAAGAGACACAATACAAGATTACCATACCCCGGACAAATATTTTTTTATCCTACCCTACTCGTGTTGAGCTCAACATGAGTAGGGTAGGATAAAAAAATATTTTTCCGGGGTATGAAGATTACACGTTACATACAATTTTCTTGTGCCGTACACGCAAACAATATATATTTCAATCTAAATACCAAATGTCTTTTACAATGTTAAAATCGCTCCAAAACTTACAAAGCCACGACGACAATTCTTTCAATCGCTTTGTAAATCTTCGCATTTCTGCGAACGTTTGACATTCTTTTCTACAAAGGAGGCCATGTAAACCCAAATTTTCCATTGTGTACCACTTTTGTACGAAGAGGGGGCATGCCATCATTTACATACTTTTCCTCACCCTGAATCAGGATGATTTACGTCTTGGATCACTGATGAGGCTTGGCTTGTATCGTGAAATTCTAAAAAGTAAGAAGAATAGGATAATCTTGCTAATACATAAGTACATATATGATGTACAAACACAGGAACATTTCTTGGAAATGAAATGATTACGTACATACAAAATCAGATGACGACCACGATTTACCATGATCCATGATTATTACTTCAGACAATAAATCCTAATTTATTAATTAATTTTAGTCGACACTAGAATATACATACATAGGTAAGCATCTATTTGTTTGGCGATTTCTACATTGTGTACTAATACATTGTGCCAGTTGACGCAATCAGTGTGGACGTATGCATTTTAAATGGCAATTATTATAATGTGCTTTTAATACAACGTTGGAACCCATTAATCACAGCGAGGTGACGGGATCACCGTGTCATCAGCAACACTACGTGCGTAAAGTTTTGTAATGGAAATTTTTAAATAGTTATCAGAGTTCAATCAAATGCATGATTTGTCTCCAACGCGGCGTCGGCGGCGCGGCGCGGCGTCGCAATGGTAAAGGAATAGGAAATCAAATTTTTCGGCGGCGGCGGCGGCGCGTAAAATGCTATCGGCGTATGTAAGTATGTGGCGGAGCGGCGGCGTGAGATCGGAGGCGTCGACCTCTGATATGGACGTACATATGTACATATGAACACGTTAGCTGAGAAATCCAGCTTTTAAAAACAACGTCTTTCTACGATCAATACTAATTTTACACTGAAATTTGTCTGCATTTTTATATTATAGGCAGAAATCAGTAAATCATGCAAATATATTTATCCAACGCATCCCCTTAACTACTCTATGTAACAAAACATGGTGCTAACAACCCTGTTACAGCATATTTATAAGCAGACGAGGCCAATTGGAATTCAATGTTATCGTTGGTGAGTTACATAATGACACATTTTCCTTTGACCTTTAGGTATACTTAAAAAGAACCAGCATACATATTATTTGGTATATAAACACAGTTTAAGGCAGATATAATGCAAAATAAATAGTTTATTTTCCATGAAAACTTTCTGCCAAGAAATTCATGACTCATGCCTAGCTGGCCGGTAGTGAGGTCATCTTAATCATGAAAATTATTGCGACCCTAATAATAATATGACCAGGCTCCAATTTGACGTCGACTTGTGGTCGACGCTAAATATACATTTTTTTATTTTATTGCACGGCTCAAGTCCTTTGTACAAACAATATGATCGCAACTGCAGTGACGAGAATAATTGCGCATCTGGTATCACGTACCAGCTCGAAGTTGAAGGCATGCATGTGTCCTAAGCAGGAAACCATTAATTTGTTGACCACTCCAACTTCCAGCCAGGGCCAGTTTAAATCAGGATTAAATTAATCTTAATTGTACAAGAGTACTTAATTGTGCATATCGGACCACCAACCATGGACAACAAATGCTCAGTAGAGTATTGTAGTTTGGCCAGAAAGGAGCCCATCAAAAGTAACATTTTGCAAATAATTTTTTTGAAAAATTTCAGTATATTTTGAAGAAAATTATTGAATTTCTTGTTGGCATCATTCAAAATGAATAATTTAAAAATCGGTTCGATATGGGCTTTAATCCTGTTCGCGATTTTTGGCACCTATTTCGCGCAGCAAGCCGAACCCCGCTGGCAAAATGGGATTGGTGAGTTTATAAATTGTTAAGGATTTGCGAAATTAAAAATTCGGGGTTTTTATTCGGCGAATTTTTTTGCAAAATTGAATTTGTTGGATTGATTTTTGCAATTTTGTGTTTCAGACTACACCTGCAACCCAAACGACCTTAGACGATTTGGATATTTTGATGGGTGCAATTGGACGAACTGTTACTGCGATCGGAGGGGAACTCGGACATGCGAAAGGACTTTGAGATCTTGTGCGCAACCAGATTTCACGACTAGTGCTGGACTTCGGGGTTACGCGAGAAGAACGTGTTGCACCAGGTCGGCGAGAGGGGGGAAATGAGATTAAATGCGAAACAATTCACTGTGTAAAGTCAACTAATAATTTAGTGAGAATTAAAAGCAACGAACATTTATATTTACGTCGTTTTTCGATAGAATATCTAGTTTATGAGTTATAACTTATTTAATACAGTTGAACAAGTATATACAATTATGGAATAAAATATTAAGACTAAAATTATGAGAGCTTCATATTTTATTTCTAAGTTCTTGGAATTTGTGGAGGAAACATAATTTTAAAGTTTTATGTGACTTAATACTGAAATGAAATACATACGTAGTTAATCTTCAATTTAAAATGTTTTATATACGTCGCAGAATTGAAAAAGGAGAATAAGAATTATATATTTGTCTGGAGTGTGTTAGAGTGTGTTATGTACATATGCAGTTGGCATAAGTTGACGCCAATTAGACTTAATCACGGCCAATATAAATGAAACCATTAACTGGAAACTGGAACGTGTTCATCTATGTACGATTACATATGTACCAAAAAGCATGCACATTCTGCATGAAAATACCACTTTTGCATAGATACCAACAATTCATCTGTAATTATTTGTTCCGCCACGAGTTAAATAATTTGTCAACTTCCCCAACATTTCACTGATTGTGTGGCATCAATTAAAATAATGGCTAACTTGGTTCATCAAAGTATGCAAATCTCGTATACTTTATTTATGCGGTTTAAATAGTTGTCCAGCTATGGTTTTCATTCACAGTCCAAAGCAGTTGTGTCAAAGAATTTTTCATATACGATAATTAACAAAAGCACATGTCACGACAATTAAAAAACGAATAAGCATTTGTAGTCTAATTTGTATATACACTTAAAATTGTAATTGTAAAATTGTGTGTGAAAATTTTATCAGAATTAAACCAATAAATGGGGTAGAATTAAAATCAGCCTTCTTATTTGATACTTATGCATATTTATGACTAGGTATGTAATCACCCTTCACCCGTTTTCGTTGTGGACACAATGCGGATATTCATTACGAGTTCGCATGTTCGCATTGCAACATAATTTTGAAAAAATTGCACACCTGGGATATGCGCAAGTTCGCAAATGAATTTGCAAGCCAAATTTTTTTGCAAGCTTTGATCTTTTTTGCTAACGTTGTTAACAATGCAAAATCGTAATGAATTACCCCAACTTAAAATTCAAATCTTCAATAATTCATACTTCTCAATGATCAGTAAACGTGACGAGTACGGTGGTGAGAACGCTGGTCGTCGTGATGTAAAAAGCACTCAATGCAGCGTAACTAATGCATCGAATTGAGCCCACACGGACACCGAAGGATTGCAAAGATTTTGCCGTTTTTCGCCATATTTTTCCCTCCCATCCTGCAAGAGACGCTGCTCTTTGGAAAAGCTTCCATTTCAAGGATTCGCTATCCTTAAACATTTTTCCAGAAATGTGCAACACCAGGAAAGATGAGATGATAAAGGCGAAAAATAGTTCCGTCATGATGGCGCGTTCTGTTGTATTTATCTGAGTAAAGAGGCGGATAAGGACGAAGGCGGAAATTATGAGGAATTCGAAATAAAAGAGAAACCGGACAGGGAGCATGGTGACAGGGTAGCACCGATTGTGGGCTTGGTTGAGCAAGAAGAGGCACCGGAAGTAGGATATTTGCCGGGGGAGATGGTCCAGAAACGTGCTGTGAATAAGGGCAATATAGACATAAGTATTGACAATGTATACTTGTCTGGATAATGACATACATAGCTTTTTTAATAAAAAGTTTCCATCCGTTGGTGGCAAATTAATGTCACGTGGACCACGACTTTGCCAAATTCGCGTCGCGTCGCGTCGTTAATAATTTCAATTACCGAATTATTGACTGTGTAAAAATATTGATTTGCATATGTATCTAACTACCAGTCCCCGGATTAAGTTTCCTTACCTTACCGTAGAAATTCCTATGATGAGATACGCCACTGCAAACAAGAACCATGTCTGCGAAAGGAAAAATTGAGAAATGTTGATCGCTTTGGTAAGCGTTTCAAAAATGAAGAACGCCATGAAAGCAATCCAATCGTTCTTATCGGACCAAGTGATGTAAATATATTGAGGTGACCGTCGCTTCAGGAAAAACATTAGGCCGGCGAGAATGATCATAGGCACAGCACACGCCACATTTCCCCGAACAATCAAGATGGCCAACTTCTCGGTAAATTTCCTCTGGTTGGAAAACACTTCGTTGGTGTGAAGTACTGTAAGGATTTATTCCAAAATGTTTAAAAATTACATGGACAATTTTTAAGTGACTACACTTAAAGTACAGTTCTCGTAAATCAATAAACTTTTTGTTAAATTATCACAAAATTCGAAGTGAATAATTAATATACGACCAAGGCAGCTAACTAAAAAAATTTAATGTCTTGTAAGCGTTTGTATTATCATCACATTACTTAACTGCAAATTTTCATCGTAAATGATCAGTTCGAGGAATACATGTATCAATAAACACTTAGAAATCTAATATTTAAATAATACCAAGTGGTACTCATATATGACCATACCTGCATTTTCTTACCCATCCTCCAACTAGGTTGGGAGCACACTTGCCGGAGTGGGGAGAACACTTGGCGGCGCTTCGCGCCGGCAAATTTTTTGGTACTTGTTTTTCTTTTTTTTAATTGAAGAAACATTTTTACAAAATACAAAACACTAAGGTCTAATTTAAGCAAAGTGACCAAAACACCCAGGTCAAACACACAAGCTGAACAGAACACGAGGGTTTTAGAAAAGCCTAAGCAGAACAAAACACTCGGGTCTTAGCAGAAACCTAAGCTGAATAGAACACTTAAAAGACACAAGGAGAACAGACGACCCAGTTGTTAGAAAGACACAAACAGAACAGAACACTTAGGTCTTAGAAAGACACAGGTAGAATATACATTCGGGTCTTAGAAAGACACAAGCAGAACAGAACTCTTAAAAGACACAAGGAGAACAGAACACCCAGTTCTTAGAAAGACATAGGCAGAACAGAATACTCAGTTCTTGGAAAGACATAGGCAGAACAGAATACTCAGGATTTAGAAAGACACAAAAAGATAAGAACATTCAAATCTTAGAAATGCCAAGGACGAACAAGAATTTGGTCTTACAAACACAAAGGGAGAAGAAAACACTTATGTCTGAAAATGACACAGGAAGATTAAAATTCTTAATTCAGATTTTTGGTCAGTTCAATAAATTGTCTAAGTAGGGGGGGAGATATCGTATGGCGTCCAAAATCATTATAAAGACGTGTGGTGTTATCACAACCAATTTAGCCATCGAATCGTCTGAAACCCATACAACGACCATTGTTTTTATGGATTTGTGCTCAAATCGGATTTAGGGAACGCAGAGATACGGTAATTTCGTTGATGCAGTTATCTCTACAATGAAACCTGCCTAGTCAACTTCCACTACCATCGAAATTATCGATTCCGGAAATCATTATAACCCTGGCAGGATTGAGCTGCATATATAAGAAAATCTTTGTATAATATAAACATATTTATACCACACAAAGGCGAGTTGAACACCTATCGAGATCGAGGCGAGTGCAAATATGGCACGCGAATACATAGGTACATAGGGTTTTAATGTTTATTACCTAGGTAGATATCGAATATTAGAGAACAAATTCTAGCTGAGCTGCATAGCCTTGGCGTGAATGTCACCGAATAAATATCACTAAATTACCTATGGGTGACCGGAGCATTAAGCTATTTTTTGGCGAGTAAACACCAAGGAGAACTATTTAATCCAAACCAAAATTTTAGGAAATTATCAAACCCCGCACACGCTAATCATTCAAGGAAGTGACCAATATTGGAAAATAATTAAAGCTTTAACCGATAGCTTGTCAATAGAAATTTTCACAGTTATTGTGAAGGTCCAAAATCGATTCCGAGAGGTGCTTAATTATAAGTTTCAACTACGAATTACAATTTTTGAATAACATCGACGCAAATAAAGAAGGGATCCTGATTTGAATCAACATTTTTGCATAATCACCAATCTCCAAAACATTTAGGCAAACAAGTTTTTTTCAACTTTCTAGGAGGACCACATCGCTAGTATACCCCATCCACTCTTAAGTCGGACTGTGATCCATGACCTGTGTAATTTGACATGGTAGGAAGTTGTTGATAAATCCTCTGGGGTAGTATCGGTGGAAATCATACCAACCAGTTTTTGCTACGGAGGATTAATCTTTCTCCATTGTTCACCATCAATCCAACTTTTAGCAAAAACCATCCGCTTTGCGATTTTTCACCTGCCTGCCAAATGTTCTCGCTGATTTTTCGCAATTAACGTTCGAATTTTTCCAGGTGTTTCGCTGTCGAGCGAATGTTTCTTTGGCACAAGGCTGAAGTCTTATCCATTTCTCGCAAATAGGGATATTTGGAAGGTTTTCTGTTTTAAGGACGCCTTTCCCAATGTTAACCGTAGCATGACTAACTAGTAGTTTTACAGGGAGTTTAGTTTTCATGAACAGCTTCCGTTGATAGTCGACCCTCACTGGGTTACATGAGTGAAGAAATGTATTTCTCCAACACTTTGACGGATCAACTTTGTCGTATTTCTCGTTGCAAATGATAATAATTTTTATTGAGATACTCTAAAGAAAGTTGTAGAAAATTTCCACAAGGTTGTGCAAAATTTTGTCCAAGGTTGGGTAAAAAAGAGGATGACACAACCGTGGGACAAATTTTACTCAACATTGTTGAGTAATCGTTTTCCACAATTTCGAGGTGGAATTTACTCAACAAGGGGTGGAATTTTTACTCAACTTGAAACTAAAAATTGATCAATGAATGACTAAAATTTACTCTTTGGTTGCGTAAAGTTTACTCTTTATGCTGATTAAAATAAATTCTTTTGATTATTAAAACGTACTCTTGATTTATTATAATTTAAGCTCGCTTAAAATTTTATAAATTCTAGTACAAAATAATTTAGTTTTCATTAAGATACTCAGATATTACTTCCACAAAAACAAAATACATACAATTTTTTAAAAAAATATTAAAAAATTCGAGAGATCATCTGACCAAACTCTGATCTACTAACCTCCTTAGGACTTGTGATTAAACAGGTGTCCTAGGTTCATCTTGAACACATGATGTGCGCTTGAAATGTTCAACGAAAAGTAGACATTGTAGGAAACGATTGGTTGAATTAATTTTAAAATTGACCAAAACAGATTCGAGGCAATTAAGACTCTTGGAACGCTGAAAAATCGGTTTCTATCATACAAACCTTTGAAAATTTGAAATATCTAAATCTGCTTAATTCTAGAAAATAGTACGGGAAACTGCGCAGCCTATGCAGAAGGATTGAAATAACAACACATGAGAGTTGTGGTGAATCATGGCTTTAAAGAAATCCAAGATATCTTGATTTCTAGGCAGATAGGAAGAAGTTTAAAATATATGTCCGACAAAGTGGAAAGACGTTGGTTAAATGCGTTACCATTATTTCGTTTAACCACCGAGCAACAGGACGTAAGCTAATTGAAAGTATTTTGATTTGCAAAGCTAGTTGAGAGAGTAATTATAATGTGGGATGAGCAAGCACTCAAATTTAGGCAACACGAAACTGCTATATACGGGGTCACAGATCGTATTTGCACGGTGATAGAGACGGACCAAACGCATGGGCGGTTTTTTATAATTCCGTAATTTTATTCTCAAAACGTAGTTGTTTGGTGTGCATAAGACTTTTGGTTAATAAAAATCGGCCACAAAAATCGTCCCAAGAAATTGCAATCCGAAGTCGACCATCTCGTTACGCATCTTTCTTCGGAAAAATGCGTAACGAGATGGTCGACTTCGTTACGCATTTTTCCGAAGAAAGATTTTCATATACGAAAATTATCGACAAATTGAAATTATCCGTATGCAGTGTGGCTCATTCTCCAACCTATTGCTCACTCAATTCCGCTTTAATTAGATGAAATTACAAAATAGGGGACTGTCATCCCTTGCAAGGTTTCAGCGCCCCCAAAGAATTTGATTTGGAAAATCGACGCCCTGACAAGCCGAGAACATCCCTCCGACCCAAACTCAAATTGGAAACGTTGTTAAAATGTGTCAGCTGCATGTGAGATTGGTGGTCGAGATCAAACTTTAAAAAGGTCTCGAAAATGACTAGAAAGTTCACAGGGTAAATTATTTTATGTCGAAAATCTCAAAGTAAATGACCCAGTACGCAGGCGAGTTAAAACAAAATGTTAGAATTTCAGTCATTGGTGATTCTCTGCAATACGTGCAAAGTCTTGAAGTCTTGTACATTTTTAATGGATTTGGACTACTAAAGGAACAGCTTTATCTGAGATGTGCTGCAGATTTTTTTGGTCATTATCCTCGAAAATATAGGAAAAACAATGAATCCCTGGAAACGGCGAAAGGGCTGTTTACGTGGTCAAAGGTCTTAGGAACACCTATCTGAAACAAGTTTTGAGGTCAGTTTTAAAGACGGTCGAAATACGAGGTACATATACATAGATAGTGCTACACTACTTTGTATGATGTATGCGTAGGCAATTTTTGCGTTCAATGCTTAAGCAAGTCATACTCACTTAAAATGTTAAATGAAGAGAAATTTTAAATTCAATGTAGCTTACTCTAAATAAAAATGACTAAAATTTACTTAAGGTTGAGTAAAAAAACGAGGAACCAACGGGTAAAATTGCTCCATGTTAAAAGCGTTCCATAGATTTACGCACGCTTTTCCTCGTCAGCAATTCGTACTTCAAAATGATTTCCCGGGCCTATAACGCTTATACTTATACACGCTTAAAAATAATGTTAACCTGTTAAAAATTCAATGTGCTCAGAAGTCTGGATGAAATAGAGTGTTCTAAATCCAGATTAATATTTGTTTGAGCAAGAGTTTTGTTTGTATATATTTGGAGAATACTCTAAATATCAGAAACTAAAATTTCCACTATATTGAGCAAAGGATAATGAAACATCGAAGGTGTATGAGGCGCAACTTTCGACAAATTTTGTACAATGGTTGGACAAATTTACGCTTTTTGCTGAACATGTTGAAAATTTCACTTACTTTTATTTAGAGCGCATGTTGAGAATGGGAAACTAATTGGCAGGGCCTAATAAGGGAAATCTTCCAAAATTTTGCAGCGCAAATTAATTTAAGAAAGTTCAGTTCTTAGAAGTATTAGAAAAATTTCCGGGAACCTTCGAAATTTCTCCGATATATTCGAAAATTTCCAAGAAACTCAGATAGCCTAGAAAAATTCAGATAGATACCGAAAAAATTCAAACGTGAAAACCCTCTTCGGAGAACACTTTCAGAATTTGTTGGGAGAACACTTGTAAGAAAATGCAGGTATGTATATCACTCTACCAAAAAGTGGTATTCATAAGTAATAGTATTACTGTAATACCGTGCAGTGCCGTACTAGTAACTCGGTATTAAGGTTTTACCATATCGAGTGCAAATTTTTCCGGATCGGTATAATTTTATCACAAGCGGTAGCAACTTTAATACCGAGAAATCAATACCTGCCTGACTATCACATTTTTGTATACTTACGTTTCACAACCAGCTCGTCAAAGTTGGACATCTGTCTGAACAATGTGACCATTTCTGTTTTTCGCACAAGAGGACCAAGTACACCTTCAAAGCTGAGATAATATCCCGATGCGAAAATTCCCAACCAGACGACGTCCATAACAGGAAATGCGTGATCCGCTTTACTAAGACAGCCATGCAAGTGATAAATATTGTAAGCAAAATATGCGATATAGTGTGATACATAAATCTTTGTCCAGACAGGACTTATTTTGGAGGAAGTGACGGATAAGGTGTTATCAATCTGATTCCAGCGAAATGGAAATAGTTTTGTGTAAGAGAGAAAATTTATGGTTTTTGCAATAATTTTTAAAACTTTCAGAGTGAACATTTTGCTGAAATTTTTATATTGCAGATTTTCTGGAAAATAAATTTCTTTAGTTGAAGCCTATAGTGCGTTTCCTCGTGGGTTCGAAAATTGACGAAGAAGAAAATGTGGACGATATTTAGGTAAATATTTTAAATTTAGGGCAATTATAATTTCATCGGGAACAAATAGAATATTTAGTGGTGATAGTTTATTACTTAATAACGGCGTAGGTACAGTATTTATGTGACATCGCCTTATCATCAACAATTGAGGTTATTTAGGTACGTAATTATTTACAGTTGTTGGAAACGTCCAGTTCGATAATGACCCATTTAATAGATGGTTTGTTTCAGGGTTTAAGTTACATAAATATGCTCACATTCTTTATGGAGGATAGTTTAATCAAAATTTAATTGCAGACTGCTCGAAACTAATAATTAGTGACAAATATGTATGTATGTATGAATGAACATGTGTCATATTTTGTTGATTACTGTCATATGCAAGCACGTAACATACAAATTCATGGTAAGCTTATTAGTCAATGATAGTGAAATTCTAAACATATTGATTGCGCTACAAATCATTGGAATTATTGAAAATTTCTGGTTGATACTGGTTTGGGTGTGGCGCAGAGTATAATATTTAATTTTATCTTAATGTACAACACAGATTAGGATATAAGAAGGATAGGATGTACAACGACAAACTTGACTTCAAAAATAGAATTTTCCATGTATGAAAATATATACATACATAACTACATATGTATGTATACGTATGTATGTATATACACACATACCTATAATTATAACACACCTGGTAACAAAATGGCGTGTAAAAATATGTATTATAGCATCGTTTATCTGCCTGTCAAGCTTTTTCCAGGGTATCCAATTGATCCTAATTTTTACTACGTATGCACGAAAAATGTATGCGTTTTTACTCCAAAACTATGTTATTGTAGTTTTATAAATACTATTGGCGTCAAACTGGCGTCAAATTCGTACCCCAGTTCATTTCTGAAAATACATGAAGAATGTGATATCCGATTTATGAGGGATCTGTGCTACATACATCCTCTGTGATTTCCATGGACATATGCCAATATATACATATGTATGTATGCATATGCCTTGATCCATCTTCCCTTCCATAGATCTCATCATTTACGCAGGGTCCCAAAGTTCTCTTCAAATTTTAAAAACTCAAAGACAATACCGTTTCAGAGACACAACAAACTTTATTACTTCTTTCAGTTCAGCCTTGTTTATAAACTAATTAAATCATAAGCACACCCGGTGTGTCGCCACACAATACTCGAGACATAACAAAACAACGAACATTACCGAATATATATACAAACCTAACCTAACCCATGTAACTCCAAAACACTGCATTTGACTCATTACCTAACATCACCATGCCTCGTGCTTCGTTGTTTTAACTTTACGGCAACGTTATTATTATCAGTAAGTAAACTTCACTCCCTGATAACCAAGGAGCAGAGTCTGCTCTCGTATTTAGTTTAGTAGATAATACAACATGAAATGAACACATTTAGCACCCCACCAGTACTTAAATGTACATGCACGAGTCGCTCTATGCCAGGAAATGATGCCACTAAAACATATGTGCAAACATGCAGTCGAAGTGAATCTGTCATTTCGTTGCATTTCATTTCGGCTCAAACCACCGGTCTTTCGCTTCTCCGTATTGTTTTTGTTATTTAAATATTATTTAGTCCTAATTAAATTAAAGTACAATGTCATGGAGTGCCTTAAAGTCGTTGGGGATAAGCCAGCTCGCTTTGGCCGTGACGTTCATCGCGACGGGAATAGTGGTCAACTTTTTTCAAGCAGTCATCTACCTGACGATTCGACCCTGGGATGCAACCCTCTTCAGGAAGATTAACTACTATTTGACATACGTGTTCAATGCGCGTGAGTGATTCATTGGAATATTTTGTAAACAGAGTAAAATTACGCAAAAGTTTATTTACATATAAATGTGAATTATAAAATTAAAGCATTATTGTGCGATGAATCTGTATAATTTTCCCGTTTCTTTGCATTCATGTATAATGCAATGATGATATGCATGCATCTGTGTATGCCCTTGAAATTTTGAAAGTAATTTTGTAAGTTGCAAAATTTACAGAGTTTACGAAAATCTGATAAAATTTTTTTCCGAAAAAAAAAATATTTTTTTTATTGCTTGACCTAATCAATACATATATTAATCAATCAAGGTAATTAAATATTTATTTAATTTGCAGATATTGTCTTCCTGGTGGAATGGTGGTCTGGGACGAAGGCCGTGATGTACGCTGATAAGGACGAGGTTACCAAATTCTTCGGAAAAGAACACGCCGTGCTGGTTGCAAATCATGGATGCGAAGTGGACTGGCTGATGGGGTGGACGATCGGGGAGAGGGTGGGAATCCTTGGGGTGCGTATTTAGTTAAATTTACATAAATTTACATATACTGATAGTATTAGTAATTGTCTTGAAATTATGGGTGTACTCAAGTCAACAAATTAATTATTTCACTTTCCAAATTATCGAGGCAATTCACGCAGTCATAATTTTAAACCATAATTTTCGTCTTGATCTCAATTAATGTTATGCACAAATTATAAACATTCAGAACGCTCGCTCCTATATCAAACGAATCCTCCAATACGCCCCGGTTCTCGGGTGGTCCTGGAAATTTCAAGAGTTTGTCATGCTGGATCGAAATTGGGAACAAGACAAGAAAAACATTGGTCCTCAACTTCGAATCCTCGCCTCTTACCCGGACCCAATTTGGCTGACCTTGTTCGCCGAAGGGACCCGCTTTACGGAGGAAAAGTACCTCGCCAGTGTCAAGGTGGCCAAGGAGAAGGGACTCCAACCCTTATTGCACCACCTCCTCCCACGGACGAGAGGCTTTGTCGCGTCCGTTCCACACCTCAAAGGAAAAGTGGCCGCTATTTATGACGTAGTCGTTGCAGTTGATAAGTAAGCAAGTTAAACTTCCGGTGGAAATATAAGTGAAATATTTATCGAGTGTCTCTTTCATCAAGAAGTTTTATTCGGTTGTAAAAAACAACAGGTTGTCTCTAGACAAGCGATTTGGTGACAAACGATTAAAAGTGGGGAAAATGCAAAATGGGACACCTCGTAAAAATTTGTTATAGATAAAATTTTTTTTTAAATGTGGTTGTTTCATCTCGGTCGAACTTATTCTGATTTTTATGCATTATTCCTATCACCAACTATCACCATTTGGTTACATAAGTATGAAACATATTCAATTATCAGAACTAATTTTTTATTGGAAATTTGCTTCCAGAAATAGTCAACATGAGCCTTCCGTGTTTTCCATGCTGAAGGGCAGAGAGGTAAAGACGGTCCTGCTCTTCAGGCGAATTCCACTCGAACAAGTGCCTGACGACGAAAAAGAGGCTGGTGCCTGGTTGCATAAGCTTTTTCAAGAAAAGGTGATCGACAGTATTATACATCAAAGTCATGATTTTCTTAAAATTGTATTTATGTATAACGTATTCTCTCATATTTTAGGACAAGGTGCTCGACAATTACGTCAAATATGGAGAATTTATCCCCGCAAAAGACAAAAATCGAGAGGAATACGCTTCTTACAAAAATTTCACCACTTTCGAAATCCCTCGAAGACCGTATACCTTGCTCAATTCGTGCTTCTGGTTGGCAGCCGTGCTAATTCCGCTGGTGTATTATCTCTGCCAAATTGTTATGTCGGGTGATGTCGGAAGAATTTCTGTGGTGGCTGGACTTATCGGAGCAGGTGAGTTTTATAGTAGTACTGCTCAACCAATATTAATAGTCACAAAAAGATCTGTAAGGTTTCCTGGCAGATTGTTTTCTAGTAACAATTAGTAACCAAATAACCTCTCAGAAAATTTAGACAAATCGAGATTATTAAAATTGGCCGAACAGTAATTCGATAACCGAATTACTTACTGGAAATAGTTTTACGTCAACTTGGTTTTAATTTGTCACTCATTAATAGCAAATTTTACTTTAAAAACAAATGAGTATTCAACACAATTTAAATTGTGTTGAAATTTAAATTACAGCTTTCAAAACAGTTTAAATTATTAAATAATTAAAAACTGTGATTTTATGCTACTAGGCATGAAATCAGCAATATTTTGTCTCCCACGCGGTACAGGGAGCTATGATTTTGATTTTTTTTTGTTATTATTTTTGCAGCTCACTTTGGATTCAGCAAACTTATCGGCCTAGCCAAGGTCAGTACTGGTTCAAAATATGGTTCCGTCGAGCTGGATGGACAATCTGGGTTAAACAAGCACAAAACGAGATAGATAAGTATATATCTATGTATGTGTGTAGAGTTGGTTGTGTATTATGACTCGTAGAACAATTAAAAAATGTGATTATGTATTATATACTTGCTGTATTCCGGTGGATAATTCACTAACTTCTTATGCAATACGACTGAAATACAATATTTATAGTACAATAAATACGTACAATGAATCGAATACATACGGTGTTGTCTTATTTTTGCATATTTATTATTGAATATTCACACATACCGGACAAAATATTAAAAACATATATGTATAAACAACCAATTGCTATGCCATAATGAAATTCGAATTTCAAAATTTATTATTTGTGTAACATTTTTGAAATATTTTTCTATGCGCTGTTCAAGGGTCACAATTTCAAAACAGGTTTAGAATTTTAGGATATGACATTTTTAATAATTTAATCTCCCAGAAATTCCATTACCCCAACGACACCGCAAATTGCACAACAAACCCCCCAGATTCGCAACGTGGTTAAAAACTTCGAGCCAAAATCTAACCTCTCCAAAGCTGCAACCTTTGGTCCCGTCCAATTTGCATAGTAAGGGAATAACTTTTTCGGTCTCGTCCTCTTAAACCACTCTTCCCACCAGTTAAAAATTCCCGAAACCATGAGATATTTTACCCTATTTAACACAAAATTCCCCCTTGGGATTGGATCAATTTGAATTGCATATTGCGTGAAAAAGAAATCGTCATCAGTCCCAGCCATGAAAACCCTTCCGTCCTTGTTATCATTCAAGTAGGGAATTATGTCCTTAATGTTTCCCTTTTCGTCGACATACGCCAATTTTTCATCACATCGCGACAAATTCGGATAAACGTGAGAGGGCCACTTGTAATGCAAAACTTGCCAGTTTCGCGTCGTATTTCTACCGCCTGGCAAAATCCCCTGGGCAGGTTTTTTGTATACGGTAAATAACGACTCGGCAAATTTCTGATACCCCAGCAACCGTGGCGAATCTCCTTCATAACCCATTGCAGATACCGTTTCGGTGGAAAATTCGAAAGAATGAAAGTAGGGTAGATTACGGCTCGAATACCACTCATGAAACTCGTCCAAGTCCGATCTCAATGGGAGGAAGAATTTAGATCCTTGATTTTCAAAGTCATAAATGTGCTTCCAGGATGGCGTCCTTTTATTCGGAATGATTACCTCGGTGGTGAAGACGACTTTGTAAAACGAAGTCAATATCACGCTACACAATATCCAGAGCCAGAACAGGTACTTTATTTTTGACGGAATGGCTTTTTCCATAGAAATTTCTAGCAGCACGGCTACAGTGACAATGCACACGTTGATGCTGGATAGCTGATTACGATTGGTTATGGCACTTATCATCGTAATTGTAAGCACTACGACCAAAATAAGACCCCAGATATAAGTGTCAAACGGGTCCGTAAATACTTTGTACGAGTCTTGTTTTTTAATCCCGTAACACGAGAGAAAGTTGTATGACTGACTTCCAGTAAAAATGACTTGGTGACCGTTAAAAATGTAGCGTCTACGTCCTAAAAATATGTAGGTATTTGTGTACAATATTTCCGAGGGGATGGTCATGTTGAATAGATTTTCAGAGAAAATGGTGTATGCCATGAAATCATCGAAAGATTCGGATTGGTTTGCAATCTTAATCCAATCTGGGGATTGTGTAAAGCGAAAATATTTCATCTGCATTTGAACAAACTCGTCGCCGAGATTGTATGAAGCATCTGAATAACTAAAGTCCAGCCAATTCATGTAAGTCCAGGTAAATCTGTTGAAAGAAAGGGCGATTTTTTCCGTCAAGTTTTCAATGGATTCGAAGCATTCCATTTTAAAGGTGAGATTGCACATGATTTTTGGGAATTTTTCGAATTTCCGCGAAATTTGTGTATAAAGTGTGGCATTCGGGTGATAAAATCGATTCAAGTAATAAAACTGTATACTAGTTTCTTTCAAACCGGGTTGAGCAAAGTAAAATTCGCGACTTCCTAAAGTGTTAATGCCTTCTTCTTCCCTGGACAGAATTTTCTCGTAAATTGCCTCCATTTCCTCTGTTGCCTTTTCATGATCGGATGGAACTATCCAAATTAGGTGGACGGGATAGGTAGAACCCAAAATACGGGGAAATATCGGAGAAAATATTAAACTTGGGAGTAGAAAGTTGTCACCCATATCAGGAAATATGTAGGTCCAGCAAAATTTGGGCTGCTGTAGTCGGCGAGTAAATGACACGTTATTAAACACAAATTTCTTAGAGTTACCAGAATAGAGCTCTGGAATGGATTGGTTAAAGTCTTCAACGTGAATTAAGATGGGATGCAGGGGAATAAAATTGGTTTTGTTTGTAGTGAATTTTACGATGAGGGTACAATGCGAAAATATTTCAAGCACTGAATTAAGAGAGATGAGGAAATTTTGATGAGAGATTGTTACTGTAAAGACGAACGTAGTGACAATTTTGACGAAATTAAGATTTGGAACGGATAATATTCGCATGATAAATGGTATTATTTTGAACAGCAAATTAATGTAGTATGAATTAAGCGTTGGGATTGATTATTTATGTCAATAGAAATTATGAACAGTTTTCGGCTGCGTTTGCGATGCTGAGGATGGAAAAGCGTAACTTCAATGATTGATATGTACATATTTATGTATTTACATACGTATTTCTGGTAACTGCTAAATACTTTCAAGGCCTTATTGCGGTAAAGCAACATATGAAAATTATTTATCTACGTCTTCTTTCTGATAATTTCCAAACACCTTTAGTTGCTTGTAAAAGATATGTGATTAATTTTTATGGGGATTAATCCCCCACACCAGAGTGACACATGCTATATTTAACAAAACTATCTATGTATTTATGTAGGATATGCTGCTGTCATCTCCTAAGAAGCAAATCGAATTCTTCAAGGATCCTTGTTTTATCTGCATTTCACCAGTAATGTCACTTAAGCATTTTCATTTTGACGGGACATACATAAGTGTTAAGGTTGACCGACATTTATATTTATGGCATATTTTCATACGACGTATTTATGTATTGACAACTTGAATATGTCTACATATTTACTAAAAAATATATCCATTAGTATCGATGTCTTTGTTTAAATTTAATTTCTAAATGTCTTGACACGCACCTGATTTTGCAAACTAAAGATAAGACGTACTTCAAATACGAATAGACTTTTTTGTTGCCCCTGGCTGGTTTCTCCAAAGGTGGGGTGTATAGTGATGCAAGGATGTGAGTTTTTGAAAAAATTGCAAAACTTCAAAGTTTGTGAATTGTATGCAATTTTTCCATATGAATTATGTATTTATTTGCCTAAAGCAAGTACATAAATATTTCCGTAGGTGATATCTTCATTAAAATTTCTTCGTACCATTTCATTCTGATGATGACGAATTTTCCGATTAGTGCATGTAGATATTTACATAAAGCAATATTTATTACAAAGTAATATGTATTCACGTGCCCTTCAAAATTGAAGTAAATTGATTTTAGGTATTACTCCACACACGGAACCTATCACCGGCCTCACGACAAATTTACGGTGGATTTCTTTATTTCCCGTAAGGTGAGACATGGTGAAAAAAGCCATGGCCATTCGCCTCACTTCACCATGTCTCACCTTACGGGAAATAAAGAAACCTACCGTAAATTTGTCGTGAGGCCGGTGATAGGTTCCGTGTGTGGAGTAATATAGTTGTGAATGTAAATCGTTCATCTGACATGAATAAGTACGAGTCCTACTCCTAGCTAATGTCAATTTATGCATATATCTAAATATTAACCAAAAACCATGCTGAAGAGGAGCCATTTATTTGATTGAATAAATGAGTAGTTTGCATACATAAATATAAACAATTGTGCTCTCAATTCTGATTTTCGTTTCGTTTGCACAGCCTTCAGAGACCAGATATTTCGTAAATATGTAATTGTACACTCTTACAAATCTACAACACTCTTGAATATACGTGGATTTATTTGTGAATAATATTATGACGACCTAAATTTCGCCTTGAAAATGCATGTTCTAGATTATATATTCATAAGCGTTGCTTGAATATGTCCAATTTCGACAGTTGTTGACGCACTTATCAGTTTTAAGCACATAAACTTAACACAATGTGAAAAACCATATTTCCGGCCTAGTTTGAAATACATTCGGCTTCATCTGACCGTCATAAGCCTATTTATTAATAACTGTCACTTTTCACTATGACTGAACTCTATGACTGAACATGTATGTACATTCACTTATCCTTTAAATTGTGTACCCGACGCATGAAAATGTTCTTAAACGATTTCCTCCAACTTCTTAAAACGACCGCAAAAATTTGTTCCCACCTAAAATGCCTACCTTGTGAGTATGACGTTCAAAAACAGCGTCTTGTCAGAATCCGCGGGAGGCAGATTATTATATTTCGGATACAATGCATCCTCTCTGTGCTTTATTGCGTCGTCATGTTCCTCAATTTGGCTTTGGGTTCATTCCAACTAATTGAAAAATTGATCGGGGTTCCATTCCTCTTAATGTACATTAACGTGACCAATGCTGGCTGGAACTTTGACCTGGACACGACCCCAATCCAAGTGATAAACGGATTTATGCAATTCGAAGTTACTCAAGCTCGAGGCCAAGGTTAGTTCAAAAAAGTAGCATCTTCATTCTCTAAGATCTCCGGTAGTATTTCAAATCTCTGGCAAACCCACTAATATAATTTTACTTAAGTTGCATACATATTAACATACTTTAAATGCTAAGTAAATTAAATAATGGACGTTTGGAAGCCATTTTAAACTCTGAAAAATCCATAAACTCACTACACCGAATATTTGTCTACGAAAATCAGCTTATAAATAAATTTATTATAAGTTTTAAAGAATGACAGCCTTAAATATCGCGATTAGTTGGTCGACTTGGAAATTAAATTCCATTTACTATATTTAAGATACCCCAGGCGACCAAAATATCTCAAGTACTACGCGTGGAATGAAAATGTTTCTCCAACTTATCAACGTTTCGGTAGCTGTCATGCCACTCCTGATCCTCGGACTTGTGACATACCGGCCCTGCTCGCCACCATTTCTCTTATCAATCATTCCAAATTGTGAGGCCATCCTTTGTAGCTTTCACTGGGCTCGTGATGGAATTGTTCTGGGTGTGCATCTACTCGAAAC